ACATTTAACATCTTTATCATTACTTCATCAAAATGTGAACAAACGTAATATCAACAAAAGTATTATTTCAATGTTTTACACTGGGTAGCGATGCCTTTACTTTATATAAAATCCAAAATTGTACAGGGCTTAGTATTAATTAAACCTTGGCAAAAATTCTGGTATAAGTGGATATCTTTCCCGCTCTTTTTGCTTTAGTTCAAGTATTTTTCAAACGAGACGATGAAAATAATACATTGTTTAGAGCTTTTCTGGTTTTCTGTAGTAAGAACTTTAAAACATATTGTATACAATTTAACATTTATTGTCCTTTAAGATGTCGAAAAAACATCATCAAGTGGGTCAACTGAAATAGGAAAATTGGTCGAACTATTAAGCAAATAAAAAATAAATAGGTACCATTTAAAAAGTCATAGACTATTTTGCTTGTATAGAATACTACCTACAAAAAAAAGTTAAATAACGCAATAGCAAAGTTTCTGAAAGCATCAAACGCCAGCTTTCATCAACTGAAGCGAAAATGAGAAGGGTAAGTTGAGGAAATGAAAGCAATAAAGCACATTGCATGCGCCAAAGCATTTCGTCATTCCCAACAAATTACGTTTCTAGACAAATAACAGTCGCATTTTCAAAAGTGAGCAAAACGTGCTCCAGTTTTCCAGGTTGATACTTGCCCAACATTTTCGCTAACTTTTTAAGACGAAAAAAAGAAAAAAATATTCCGTCAAATTCGTTAAATGATTTTTTTTAATTAACGTCACAAGTTATTTGAAGTCCCCCAATCCCCAAGTTTATTAAAACTGAAAGCCTCTGCGAATAAGGATTTCTTGTCAGCTCAGGCTTCCAGAATAAATTAAAAACATAATAGCCGATTTCTACCATCCCAAATTAACTTCGTTATCAAACTTTCCAAAGAAAATAAAGCAGGCGTAGACAATGCTTTGTATGAAGGATGGCTATTGTTTTCATTAAGAGGGTATAATAGGTACCTATTGAATAGAAAAGAATAGGGTGAACGAATAGAAAAACATTTTATAAGTCAATTAAACTTAGTTGGTATTTTGGAGGAATTTAACTTGTTATATCTTTTTACATATGATTACTTTACTTATTACGTTTAAGTTGGATTGTTTAATGCAAAAAATATTAGGTAAGAAAGTTTGAGTTTTGATAGACATTGCTAATCGATAATTAAAATAGAAAATTTAGAAATACAAGAAATGTAATAGTTTAAAAGTTTAATAGTTATAACATGTCATTAAGCTATATCTACATATATTATAAAACCAACTATACACCACAACGTAAACATCTAAGCCCATCCACTTTATTGCAATTGTTTAGTTCCACCTCCAATACGTCAAAATTAGAGTATTTTAATTAAAAATTATGATTAAATGATAATATCCTGGATATCAAATGTAGGCCAAGGCAGCCCAATTCTATCTTTTAATTACGCGTTTTGATAGTCAGCTATAGTTCCAGAATTTTGTACTATCAGCTACCTATTTATGTTTTGCTTTTCTCCCTTTTTCATTCACCAATATCTTTTAAACTTCTTGATAAAGATCAAAATTTTTAATCGGTTAGTGGTGCTTTTGGACTTGACGAACCAAATGAGACACAGACAAATCTACGGTTACATTATTATATATAGATTTTTATATTTAAATGCACCTAATGATCAATAAAATAAACAAGACTGGCGTTCTTTAGATTATTTATAAAATTACTAAATGCGAAACTTCACAGCGCTAAAAGTCATCTGCCGGATTAAGTAAAAGCGTGACGTTTAAATTGAACGATGCATATCAAAACACTGATGGTGTCTTAACCTTTGGCATTTGATTTAAATTAAACTTTGATATTTGTTTATGCGAAGATGCCCAAATTTTCCGATGCGACGATAGAGGGATGAGAAGTAGGTAGATATAATTTTGTGATATACGTAATAGGGGATTATAGTTATTAAATTAAGAGGTACTAAACTCAAATTACACTCTCCATCATCGAACGGACATCAGAACACTCATAAATCAATTTACTATGTACACAACTTAATTATACTTTGGGCCGTTGCCAAATCTGTATCCTTAAACTGTTTGGTTCTAGTGACGTATTTTAGACTAACCGAAATGTTTACTGCAATGCTATCACAACAATCAATATTATATCTAAACTGGAAATGAAATTGGTGCTACTTTTACAGGAAATGTGTACCTACTGTGCAATGCTAAGCAGCTACCTTGGCGCTAGCTTCTGTTTTTTTTTTCTATCGGTTCGCTAATTATTTTTCAGAATTAAACATTGTTAGTTGTCATATTTATCCACGAAAATTGGAAAATGTTGAACTTTTATATGCAACTGATACATTGTCTTATACCGTGTATCTCCCAAGTGCAAAGGAATCTCCCTTTCATTCAGCGACCATTCGACTTTCCAGCGTTAAATGTGCTTCATTAATTTTTTCTTATTGTACGTATAATTAATTTTATACATTACAGCCTTCACCGCTTCTCATTTGCCAATCGCCAACTTTCAAACCTCTAGCCCTGATAGATTCATCAATATCATCTCTCCGTCTCCTCGGGAGACTGTCACGTTTCCGTCTTCTCGTTGAAATCCATTTAAAATTTTTTGTTGGTTAGCTCACTTTGTTCATTCTCTGTAAATGGCCGTACCATGATAATTGTTTTCTTTCTATTGTGTCTGGGGTGTTATCTTCAACTTTCTTTATTGTTCCTATTCTGTCATTTCTTACGTGATCCCATTTAAATGTAACTACTACATCACGCTAGAGATCTCTTACTGTTCTTCTAAACGGCTTTCTGACCATTCTTTTGTCCATAATTTACTCAATGGAACCGTGTCGTAAGCTTTCTTTAGATCAATAAAAATCTGAAGATGCTCTATTTGACCTCTTTCAACCCTTTCGGTGTAAAGCTTCCTCTGCACACTATCTTCCTGGATGAAATCCATTTTGTTGTTTTGCCTCTGTTATTTGATCCTCAATTTTTTGTGTTATAATAAACATAAACATAAACATAATTCTTCCGTACAGTCTGACACATCTCTAACCATTAACTCCAAGTAAATTTGTGAATATGTTTATGTTTAAACCATCCCTTTATTACTCTTAAGTTGGTCTGGTAGCACATATCGAGTAATCTTTCTCCGTTGTCGTTTTGTGCTTCTTCTCCATGAGGTCCTACCACTACAATTTTATTGTGATTTGAAAGTACTTTTCTTTTTTACAACTTGCGGTATTTTTTTAGACCATCGGTATCTATAATTACACAGTGATCGCTTTTTAGCTTCATATCAACCTGCACAATTCTGTCACTGATCTGGTGCCAAGTTTTAATCGTCTTTTTATATTTATTCTTTACAACTATAGACACTCCACTTCTAGCTCTTTCTTCCATGAATACACCGCTCTAGATGTATATGTACCCCCAATTCTCTTCTGTACCTATTCCTATCCTTTTCTTCATTTCAATCCCTGGAACATTCCAGGTGTCAATTCTCAAAGTCCTTTTCGTTGCCAGTTTTCGTCGCCGGCTTGAACCTTCCTATTCCAAGACTTACTTGAGGAAGGTTCCAAAATTTTATGAGTGATGTGGTGCAGGTACATCGCCTCAACTGGCAACCTGGAGGGCCAATAGATATATTATTCAGGGTGTTCTTTTACTTATACCCCTTGTCATGGATATGGTAGTAGGATTTATTGGATCGATCTCGGATGTGGACATTTCTCAGAGTTTAGATACAGTAAAGACATAGGCAATTTCAACCACCTCTGAGACCCATTTCCGTCTTTTTATTCTTATGCTAAACTAATAAAAGAAAAGGAAAAGCGATATGTGAATTTGCTGTTTTATGAACTCCTATTTCCTTTGACAAATGCAGAGATGCATTAAGTGAAAATAAGCAGGCCTTGCCAACAATACAATGTTTTAATGACCGTAGAATGTTAACTTTTATTGTTACATCAAAAGAAAGTGAGAATTCTAAAAATAAATAGCGGTTTCTAAGAATAACGTTGACTTATGGCCTGTTAAATTTATTCGACCATTTTGCAAACATGTGTGTTTTAAAATAAGTAATTTCAAATGTACTTTCAAAAAACTCTAACACGACAAGCAAAAAAAAAAAAAATGAAACGAAAAACTAGGTAAGCAATCAACGTTAAGGCACAGGACAACAGTAAATGCATTTGCTACCTTCTAAAAGGACACTTTGTTATAAATTTATGAAAATATCAAAATAATGAATTCTGTCTTTTGATATGAGGGTAGATTTAGACTTGAAGTAGCGTTAAACTACAAATCTGAATATTGGTACTTTCATCCTAATGAAGGAAACATTAATGCTATCTATTTGCCTATAAAGCAACACTAGTGTATAACGTAACAAATTCAAAATCAGCTCACACAACAACATTGATTAAGAAAAACAATTAGTTACTTAAATATCTTCTCGTTTTTAATGTAGGTACTAGATTGAAAATTTGCTATCGTCCACAAAAGTAGGTTAATGGTAAGTTATTTTTGGCGGAACATGCAGATCTCTTCATTTAAAAAGATCTGCATTTGATTGTTTTCTCCGTCAGTACTATTTTCAGTTAAATATCTAGGTACTTACAACAGACAATATACTTTATACCTTTATAGCTGTCGTAAATTTGATAGCTCATAAAATTTAACTGAAACATCGCACTGTGGTTTTTATCCGGGGTTTTTTTTTAAAAGATGGAGCCTGCGCTAAAAATTTTTCTTTAGTACCTATTCAAATAGTTTTATAATGCTAGCCGTAATATATGTATAAGTAACATATCTAACTCATTTTAGTAAAAATAACGCAGTTTTCCTTGGTGCATTTTTGTGGCGCATTGTAAGTACGAATCCTATTGACTACTGGCCGATATTGTAGATTTATTATGAAATTTCCGTTGGGCGTTTTTGTTGGAGGCGGGAAAGGATAACTGGATAGGTACATAATGTTAAAATATTTTCCTTCTTTGTGTACCTTTCTCATAAAAGACTTTGATGTAAACAAATCTCCCCTGACAGAGGATCCTTTACATCTTCTTGTTTGCCTGTTTTCTTCGTGAATTTATATTGTGAGACTTATATTTTACTTAAAATGTACATTTGCTGTGTATTAACAAACTAAATATAAAAAATAAGGTTTTTTATCACCTTATTTAAAAAGATAACGAAGAAATATTTGGAAATTGTTTGACAATCATGTTTACTCCTTGTCCTATGCACATATTCCTAATTATAATTTTCTTATAGTCGCCCAGTTTTATGAATCCTGATATTTTCGAAATTAGTTGCCAACTTTAATTATAATAAAAAATTAATTAACAGAAGGAAACTAGTTTAATGATATTTGCGTGTGCAGTATCCGAAGGATAATTCTCTCAATTAAGAAGCTTAAAAGAAGCTGAATGCGATTCAATTGTGAGCCAGCATTCTCGCCAAGCAAATTACATGCAAATGTCAGTCCAAACACATCGAATAACGACAACTGATTGCTTTTAAAATGAAATCGCTCGACGCACATAAAATGTTGGCACTCCACTGCACTAAATGACAATTAACTGAAAAACTGTATCAGAATTGTGTACAAAGTGAGTTTTTTTAGTCCAATAATTCTTTAGTTACGGATCGCATTATTAAAAACTGGATTTTGGAAATGAAAATTCTCACTTTTATGGGGCACTGCAGCAGTAATTTTGACGTTAATATAAAATTGTTGTATCCGCAGATAGTAGGACTTAATTAAAGCAGTGAAATTAAAGTGTCACATTAGTTACGTATGAACGTACATATGTCAAGGCTCTAGGTGAATTGACTGAATTTCTCATACCACTAACATACTTTGGTTAAAGCAATAAACCTCATTTTCTTACTGATAAAAAATAGATTTGACAGAATGACAAATAAAAACAGTAAAAAAACACTTCAAGGAAAAGGTCAGTCAATCTAAACAGCGAATAATCCTGCAGCAAGGGCATCCTAGTTTCACCTTATGCTATCCTTGTTTTGTTCACGTACGATTCAATTTCCACCAGATACTTTCAAATTTGCCAGACTCTAGTACTCCAACAGTTATGATGTCTGTTTTCTCCAAATTTCCTTGATACTTGAAATCTTGTTCAAACAAATTTAAATCCGAATTCAACTTTTATGTTAGGAAGGCATCGTGAAAGGATTTTGAAGTACAAGTTTTCAATGTTTATTACTTTTTAAGTATTTACAAAATAAAAAACATAAAACAAAAAAAAACGTATGGTCGAGTCGTTTTTATCATTGAGAACTGATTTTTCTGTGTTCACAAACGGTCAAATTGAAAATATAAAAACTACTATTAAAATTTTATGTTTAAAATACGGCACTGTACAGGTGCGGAAATGTAGATAGGGAGACATAAGAAACTTTAAGGAGCTTTAGGGTGTGCCTTCAGGGTTGAAATTGTAATCCGGCTTCCAGGAACACAACTTTTACCGTACTACTAGCCGACTGCCAATTTATCTGATAAAGTTTACATTCTCTCTTCGAGGGTGTTTATTTCGTCTGTTCATGATTTCTCAAAAAACTTTGTAGTTCAGTCAACCTAATCTGCATTATTTAATTACATTTTGTTGGTCACATAACATTTCCAATCATAATACGTCATGTACAGAGTTTTTTAATTCCTTAATAAAATTAAATTGATCGTTTCGGAGTTTCTTTGAGTGTAATAAGAGTTAGGGCATATTTTTCGACAGCAAAATATTTTGAAAATTACTCAATCCCTAAAAATAAATTGGACTTCCTGAACGTTATTAACATCGGTCAAATTTGAAATAGTCCCTCCCTAGAATACTCAGAGAATATGCCCCCCCTTCCAAATTTCAAATCTCTAGGTTTGCCAGCCGTTCAGACTCTACCTTTGCTGATAAGAATCAATCAATCACGGTACTGTTTTATATGCATAGATTATATCATTGACGGTTGGAATCATAACAGTCGGTCGTCAGTAATTTAAGGTAATCGTTATTGTTGCAGGTATTAAAATGTCATTCCAGTGGGAGAAGCTTTCACCAGCAGAGTTCCAGCAGTTGCAAGATTTTGCATCGTGTAAGTATGTAACAAAAGACTGCTTACAGAACACAGCTAGTAATTATAGGGTTGTTCGGAAAGTCATTTCGTTTTTTTTGTGGAAATGAAAGACAGTTTTCGTATAATAAACAAATACTTTATTAAATTATATATTGACCGTTCTGGTCCAACACCTTTTGCCATCTTTCTGGTAGTAGCATAATTCCACGCTCATAAAATTTTTGGTCTTTGCTGGCAAAAAACTGATCGAGAAGGTTTTTGACCTCCTCATTTGAGGTGAAGGTTTTACCGTCTAAAAATTTTGGAGTGACCGGAACAAATAATAATCCGATGGTGCCAGGTCTGGAGAATATGGTGGGTGTAGCATTGTATCCCATTCAAGCTGTAAAAGCTTTTGGCGAGTGACCAAACTTGTGTGAGGTCTCGCGTTGTCTTGGTGAAACACTACACCTTTCCTGTTGATTAGTTCTGACCTTTTCTGCTGAAGTGCATCATTCAGTTTGTGAAATTGGGTGCAAAAGAATACAATTAAATCCTCTGTCGGGAAAAAACGAAATGACTTTCCGAACAACCCTATATTCTGTACAATCTGAATTTAAACTTATTCTCTTAGTTACTCTTGAGTAAAATTAAACTACCTATATGTTGGTGAAGTCACAAAATTATTGGCGGAACATTTGACACTTTTTCACATGTGTTCCCACTTGGATCCCTTTTACCCTCTCAAACAGTTATTTTAGTTTCTTTACTGGTAATTCAAACATTAGTTGGAATAAATAAGTGCCTAGTGGGGTTTGTTAATACAAGAAAGTACAACATTTGTGTGCCGAACTGAAGGTAGCAAGCTCCCATGTACTTAATTGGGCTAGAGTTTCAGCCGCAGTATTGATTTTAGCCTTATTTACGGAAAACTCTTTTATTTTTAGAAATGAATTGCTTTTAGGGCTTTTCTTATTACAAATATATTAGATAGGTATTTATTTCGTTGTAGTTTATAGAATCTCCTCCTTCTTTTCCCAAGATTAAGTACACAGTTACAAATTCAAAATTTTTTAATCGCTAGTGTCTACCCGGTCTATAGTCCGAAGAGAGCTCATAATATTTATTTCATTTGCTAATAACTCAATGAACTGTTTATGGCACAATATTAAAAGTTTATAAACTCGACGAAAAAGTGTCAGAGATTTTTCTCCTAATTCTTCGGTTTGGAATTTAATGAATTAATAGGAGATGGAAAGTTTAATAGAAACCATAATTTCGAATGTCTTTATTGTAAAATCGATTTTTTTCTTAGATAATCATAAAAATACTCCTAAACTTTGAAAGCTAATAGACTAACGATGTGATGTCTTGACGAAAAAAAGCATCAGAACTTCTTTAAAGAAAAATTTATTATGCTCTCTTCGATGGTCTCGTTCGTGTAAGTTTTTTTGTTCACAAAATATAGACGAAAATCTTTAGTGATTTATTCTTTTCCACGTTTTTCGTATGGATAACTAAAAAGTCTGATGAGATAACAGTAAATCATTAAAAAGCTCAAATACCGACACCAAAATACAACACTGAATGTCCAAAGTTACATTCTTCAGGGACTAAAAAATAAATACTAACTAATGTTATAGTCCATGTGTCAACTGCAGTGTTCAGTGGACCCAACAAAACATTAAAATTAAATTAAAATAAATAGTGGAGAATTAGGGGTGTACATATAGGACGTTAAGAAAGCTTAATAGGTTTTTATATACAAGTATACTTTTAAAACTTCCAAGCAAGTAATTATTTCTAATTTCTTTAACTATGTTAAGATAGTTGGTGTTGATACTATGATTTACAATAGACACAGTGGATTTTTCAGTTCCACCAAATCTGGCATGAGACAAATGCTCGTTGAACTTAACATGTATAGGGTGTTTAGTTTGTCCAAAATACTTCTTACTGTAATTCCTGCAATCACTTCCTTTCATTTGACTCAGAACTGAATAGTTCAGTGTAGTCCAACATATTCTTACTGAAAATCATATGATTAATATCGGCAATTTTAAATTGATTGAGGAAATTAGAAAAAATTACTTGCTTAACAGTGAAAGTATGTTTGTGTATAAAAACCTATTAAGCTCTCTTACGAGTGACAAATACCCTACAGCTAATTTAATTTAAATGTTTTGTACTAAACACGAAACATTGCTGTCTTTAGTCGCTTCTGTCCCTGAAGATGATAACTTTGTTACCTAAAACTATTTCATACCTAAAACTATTTCAGTGTCATGTTTTGGCATTGGAGCCTGAGCTTTTTAGTGTTCTACAACACCGTCAAACAATCCGAAAATCCCACGTAACGAAGTTGTGCTATATTTCATGCTTATTATGAGATTCCGGTTTATGTCAAGCCATGAATTTTCGGTTGACAGAACAAACGTTTCGCAGTCGTAGATTTTTATGTGAATAAAATAATATGTTTTCATCGCTGCTGGGTTTCCTGGATGTGTTGTTTTATAAAACAAAACTAAAATTACCATCGAGCAACATTATTGCAACACAAAACTCTTGCTGCTAATAAAATAATGGAAACATTTACTGTGATAGCATAGAAATGAGCATTTCTGATTCAGTTTCATGAGAACGGTGAAACCGCGAATGTTCAATAAAACTTCTTATCTATTGAATCAATCGTTCGCAAACTTCACGTAAAACCGCTAAACTAGTTTTCGTGTTTGTGTATATTGAATCGTCGCGAGATCGTTCAGTAGAAAATGGAAAGAAAATATTTTCAGTCTGTTGGGCCGTTTTGAAATGATCTTTACGAAATTCTAAGAAACTATATAATACGAACTCAGCTTTATAAACTACCCTCTCTTCTACTAATAGTAATAATTGTTTATTAATAAGGTTTTTTCAGAAAATCACACGTAAATTAATGAAAGCTAATTATAAATATTAACGAATTTATTTATATAAAAGAACTTTGTCTTTATTAATTTTTGTTAATTTCTAATAAACAATTTTGAAACTCCAAATTTATTTGTCAATTACTGCGCATTTCTCATCAAGTATCATCATTAAAACTAATTCCACAAAGACAAGGGCTTCGCAAAGATGTACCCGTCCGGAGCCTAGCAATGATTAAGGCTGCCCCTGTCGCTTAATAAACGTTTTGATTATTAAACCTACCTTTATATATTATAAACAAAAGCTTCTTATAGGAAATAGAGAAAATAATTTATTTACATTAATGCCTTTAGCAAAAGTTAACCCTAACATCAGATTTTTACAGATTCTACCAAGAAACTTGAAGATGTCCTAGAAGAATTTTGTGGAAAAGGTCCTCCGTACAAACACAATCCCGATGGTGTAAGTCAATCCACTTATGTATGCATATATGCTTATCTATAAACAAACCATTTACGTTCAGTGCAGGGTTGATTATTTATTAAACGCTAAGTGTCCTCTGCTGTTTCACCTGTGCGACGGTTTGTTTGCCTTAATTTGGATTTTATGGTAATGATTCTATAAAAATGGTAACAATAAATCCGACAAGTATATCCAAGGATCATCCCGGAAAACGAAAGCAATAAATGAATCAGCAAATTGTACTTGAATATTAGTATATGTTGCGGTTATTAGTTGAAAGACTTTTCGAATCGAATTACGCCAAACTACAAACAAAAAAAGAAAATTTATCTCTTTATGGTATTGTGTAGTGCTTTACTAAAGCTCTATCAGAGACAACACATGATCGAAATAAATACATGCAAATAATTTTCGATAAAATTACAACTATAAAAAAGAGAAGAATAAATAAAACAACATTTATTAAACAATGTTTTTTTCTTGGTTATTTTAAATAAGGTAAAGCAACCCTTACATATTTACATTAGGTGCAAAGTGTCGTTATATTTTGTGCTAGAGTCGTTAAGTAGGAAATTGGCAGAGCTAATTTCAAGCCATCACAGTGATTGCTTTACAAAATTTATAACATCACGAACACTGGCCAAAAGTGTAATGAAAACAGTAAACGTTAGGAAACGAAAATGCTACGCTAAATTAAACTGCGTCAGTTTCGTAGAAAATTAACGACAAATACGTGAACGTTAAGTTCATTAATCGTTGTAACGCAGCTTCCTAATCGGAAGATACAAAATGATATTTAAGGAGTATCCTGAATTCCATGCTCAATCTCACCCTCAATAGGTATAGGTATACTTTTTACTCACTTCCTATGCCAGATACTACTTACATACATCTTAATTAGCTTTACTTTATCAATTCCATTCATAAAGTGAAAGTATATTCAGCACGAGATCGCGTGTCTAGAATTATCACGTAGTAAGGAAATAACTCAGATAATCAAGTACATTTAGCACTATTGATAGGGATTGGCAATGGTTTAATTTAGGAAAGTGATCATCTTTCACTTCGAGGTTTACGTGAACAATACACAAAGATGTCTTTATTATTTATTGGAAAAACATTTTGAGTACGTACCTACTTGCTAACGTTAGAAAACTTTTCGATTTTAAAATATTATTCCACTGAATATTCTACATACATGAATTTATTTCGAAGATGAATCATTTAAACATCATCAACTAATCTTGCTTGACATTTTTCAGACACAGTGATCCGATTTGGAAGATTTCTCTCAAAACATTTATTTATTGTACGATACGTATATATCTTATCTTTATCAAAATATCATTTTGAATTGGCTTAGGAGCATTAAACCAAAAGTCTTCACTTTTTCCATCATATCTGTTATTTTTAATAAAATTTTGCTTATTTTCTTGAGCAACTGGCAGCTTCATTATACACTCAATTAAATTTGAAAAAAAAAAATTAAAAAAGTTTTGTTCTGCGGTCCAATTTATAGCAAATGCTAAAAGTTTGTTCCAATTCTGGATTTCTCCTTACCAACTTATTTAAAAGTTTTTTAAAAGAACTTCGTGTCTGTCATTCGTTCTTTCATATTTACACTTTGTAATGAAGATTTGTGAATGATTCTTAACTTTCTGAAAATTTTTAAGCACGCATTACATAACGGTATACAGAAAAGGTAACGTTCCCCCTGGTAATTGAGGAAAAGGGGATAAAAATTGAAGCAGGATCGTATGAAAAGATTATCACAATTGATTTTATCGGCTGTTTCTAATTGTCTCGTCTAGTAAAAGTCAGTTCTGTATTCTGTTAATAGATTACCTACATTTAGATATCTAGAAGAATTAAACAATGTATTTCAACTGCATTGCGATAGGTGAGATTATGTTTAGGCTTTACAAATTGTCATCTTTTAATCCTGATTTAAATACCTAATTGCCCGCCTAAATTATTCAGGTTATATTAATAAGAAATACATGCATAACAAGTTTAAAGCTACATAGTTGCCATCTATAAGAAATGTATAAGGGCACTTATACAGGGGCAGATCTACGCATTAATTTCAGGAAGAATCGGCCACATAAACCTTGGTCATCAAAGGGGAAAAGAACTAAAAGAAACAATAAAAATATTTATTTACATAATAAAATTCCACCCCAATCTTGCAAGAAAAGTCGAATAGGCGCCATAAAAGGAAAGCGAAGGTCATGACCATGGAAATAAAGTAAGTAGGTAATAAATGTAAGCCTTTTTTCGACTCTTATTCTTTATTAGTAATGGTCGGTTATTAAGAAAATAGCTAAATTGGAATGCCTAGATCGAAAACAGTTTTTTCGTCAACTGATTAAATTGTGCAATGATAACGATATTCATTTCATTCCCACCAGCCACTAATACTGGTTGGCGGGCAGTTCCTCCGGACTACGCCGGAAGGTAGAGCGGAAGGACCTTCTTCAACCTCCTTTCAGGAATCGTGGGAATGGGTGGGTGGTGGTTCGGGTGAGAAAGATGAGACGAACGGAATGAAGACATAAGGGAATGAAAGATTATCTGTGGAATATTACTGCCCCGGCATTTGCTTAAGTGATCGAACGAAGCCACAGAAAAACTTGGACCAAGGCAAACGGACCCGGAATCGAACCGGGCTCCTCTCGAATGCTAAGCAATGATCTAAACCTCTAGGCCATGCCGTTCGGTACACAAAGGGCTCGCTTATCCAAACCCCATTGTACTTACTAATGAATGCGCCCTCTTCGGTGCGATGAGGTAATCCTCTCATCCAAATTGCATGAACTATACGTAGGTCATGTCGAAAAACGATGTAACACATTACTACCTGAATTTTCAGAGCTAGTGTGATGATATCGAAACTTCCCGTTTAATCATCCTGGCGTTAATTTTCACGAATCATTTAACTTTGGTATAACGTACCTATATCAACGAAAAGAGTCCTGAATTTGATCAATACACCATTCAGTCGAGTGGAAATTATGGAAAAATAAATTCTTCCTCGAAAGCCCATCGTTTGCGTCATTTTATTCTGAGTTTCAACTGGAACAAATGTAGCGTAACACTAAACGGTCTTGGAAATGTCAAAGAACGTTTTCTATTTACAAAGGATTCCCGCAATGCGGACACACGTATCTCATGAGGTGCCTTTAACAACATAATTACCAGAAATGTGGGAGCGTTGTCGACATAATACGGAGAATGTACGATAGTTCTCTTTGCTTTTCTGCCTCAAATCGATAACACGGAATGGTTCAACTTACCCCTTTCTGGATCATGACGATGTTTTTCTCGTTCACATACCTACCTAGATTTCCGAATCTTTTTGAATGCCGATCAGAACCTACTGTGAAAAAATTGCCTTAAAATCAATGAAAGCTTACTTCTTTTTAGCTGTAACTTTTTGTTTTAAATGTAAAATTATTCACATCCGATATGCACGTACACAAACCATTCTCCGACCTTTTTGGCATATGGAATAAGTGTTCCTTTTAAATCAAGTATCTATATAGGGGATCTACCGCAGACTCGCCCAACTCAGTAGCTCATGAATATCACCGGAGACTTATTAGCATGCCTCATGAATTTTGTTCAAAAGGTTTCGCTGAAACGGTATATATTTATACCGAAATAAAATTGGCCAACAGTAAATTAGCCTTTGAAGGTATAATTCTAATTGGTAGACACATATTAATACGAAATATGGAGGATAAATATTGTCCCGAAGCCCAATTTATAACTTATTCATACGGTAAATACATTTTGAAAAATGAAATTCGATCACCATGTCGGATAAGATCCCGAGAGTGTAGAATATTACATTTCTGTGTTGTAAATAAGTTGTAAAACGATATATTTATTACTGAGATGCGACAAAAATATGTCACAAAATTATGGCATCCACATTGTTTTTATTATCCACGAGTACCTATTATTTGCAGAAAGCTGTTGGCTCCAAAACACGCATCTACACAAAAGTGGATTTTCATTCCAATAAGAATTTATATAAACGTATAATTTAAACTACACTACCTAAATGTTTTTATATAACAATATTCGGTTACTAAAAATTTCTTGCTATTTCTTTTTACTCTGTGTAATAAACATATTAATAATTCTAGTTTTAAAAGAATACAAGAAATATTTAGTTTATTCTACGGTATAAATAATTCAATTTAGTTAAAGCAAATTTAGCAATAACCCTAAGGTAAAGATTCATAGACAATCATAGTTAAATGCCGAGTTATCGATTCGACTGGTCATCTTCAAAGATTTTGAATGAAAGTAGAGGATATGATAGTGCCTCTGCTTCTAAAAGAAACTTAAGCAATTTAGGCATTCTATTCCCTTTTCCTGTATAACTTTACACGAAAAACTTTTGAAGTTTTGGAGGATTTAAATTTACGTTTTCAACAAAACTTCGTAAGCCAGACAGAGCCCCTTGACTTGGAAATTCGTATACACCCTAGTTTCTAAATTGTCATTAAACTAAAACACTCTCGAAAAGACAGTTACTTTATACAATGCAGGATACTCCTAAAATATTGCATTCCTTTCAAAAGTTTAATTTCTCTTTAAGTATTTTAAATAAGTCGATGTACATCTATAATCTAAGACGGTCAACAAACTAATTGCAGAAAGCTTATTTGGTCATTTATAATAATATTAGCACGTCAGTCAAATTTTAATTCCGTACAATGTTAAAAAAAAAAAACAAAAGGGGGTAGTCCGGAGGATTTTTAGTTAGGCATGTAAAAAACTATGACCGTTTATTTCAGGAAATTGACTATGAGAATTTTCGCAAGTTTCTCGACACATTCCTGGAACTAAGGACCCCGGAGGAGCTTTGCAGACATTTATTCTTATCGTTCGTACGTCACAATGTTCGAATTGATGGCAAAGCATTTAAGGAAATGGCTGCTTTGAGTTCAACAACAGCTTGCGCTCCCATTACAAGTCACAATAGAGGTGGGTGTTTGTTTTTACCATTTGTTTTTCAAAATTGAACATTCCAGGAACTCATTGCGTTGCTTCTTGACACTGACAAACAGCGCAATATGTATAATGTACGATTTTCCAAAAAAAATTAACTTTTTCCTGTAGCAACTGTGATGACAATCGATCGAAACAATATTATCGAGCTTTCCAAATAAAAATTAGTGACAAACAATTGAAGATGTATTAGAACGGACGCACTATTAAAAGTTTAAACTCTGTATTATTTTTTTGTCCACTCTTTAATCTTTATAGATGGCGGTTCAGCAATTAACGATAACATGGAAAAAAGTGGAATAACGTCGGAAAAAGGTAGTAACTACGGTGAAATACTCGTGGAAAAAATTCAAGGAATTGGTGAGAAATTGCTTGGTCATCATAGATCCGATAGTGACACTTCCACAACAAGAGTAAAATCAGGTAACTGTTCAAAGAACTGTTACTGTAGGACAGTTGCTTAATGCAAGCTGAACTATATATGTGAAGTGAAACTTCTTTAGATTGTATATTAAAGTAGTATTAAAAAAAAAATTGGCGTACCTAAACTATTGCATTAACTAATTACAAATACAACATTTCGAGCGGGCGGAATATTGGTTTAGTTTTGTTAAAAACTTTTACGCTCTCATCACACAAAACTGCAGAAAGGAATTACAAATCAAAACAAACAAGCACAAACGCAGATGACAATTTGTCGAAATGGTAATTTTCGGATTATCGGTTGCTACTAACACATTAGCTTTTCAAGCTTGTTAAAATGACTCCTTTTGGTCATATCCGCCAGGGGTCACACGTAGCGCGTTATGCGTGACGCTTTGATGTGTGACGTTACACTTTTCGGTTTTATGCCCTAGTAAATGTCCTTCTTACCGAAATATAAAGAAGTTTCACTTCAAAAAAAGTTTTTTCTTGGTCGACAATATGGATCGCAGTTTCGAACTTATTATTTCATAAACTGATGATGCCTTGATTCGGATCTAAACGTTGTCGTCGGTTGGAGTTGTTTCCTAAAGTTTCGCTAGCACGAGTGGTGAACTTCTTCAGAGGTCCTAGGAAGCAAATCCAACCGACCATGGCCTTTAGACCCGAATTAAGACTACATAAGGTCACCTACTACCGTGAAAGCCTTTACCAATTTATTGTTCACTACATCATCAATTTGTCCGGTGCATATCTATCTACAATAAATCATTTTAGGCATTGTAAAAAGTTATGGAAATTTATTGCAGCACAAAGGATGCAATTTGGAATTAATATTCATTGATACGGAAATAATTGAGTAAATTGTTTTGTTCCTGATAGCATTGATTTTAGTTACGCGCAAATGCAAATGTAACTGTTATTGCACAAACTTTCGACCACAAATTCCAAAAATTAAACTCCGACGTATGTAACTATTTTCCGTCAATGTCATGTTCCATTCGTTTGTAATAATTTTATTATCATTACCAGTCAAGCTCAGGTAGAGTCACTTTTAATTATATTGAATACATTGCCTAACATGTGAAAAAATATCGACTACGTTGGCGTTGCTGCTCTTATCTACCCTCGGGAAGCGTCACCTTATCTCCACATTATTCTGGCAAGCATTCCCTTCACGTTCCGATCAACCCTCCATTCTCTATTGCTTACGTGGTGAAGATGTATGCACATATATATTTATAATCTTCATATATTGTACATGACTTGCTCGTTCATTGCGAAGGGAGTAAACTCTGAAATAGGAGTTGAATGGTGTCACATTGCCAAACGATGGAAATTCATTTGTTGGATGACATTTACAGGATAACAGGTGATATTTATTTTGTATGGGTGCATTTTACTCAATTGGTATATCGAGAATATTAATTTCAAACCTTATCTAACTATGCTCTCTAATACAATCTATTACACTCGTCAAACAATTTCTGATTTTTGTATCTATCGAACTACAATAAATTATTAGATAATTTCCTTTTTTTTCTAGTTTACGAACCTTAAAAAAAAACTTCAGTATTTTTCTTTATTCAACTATAATAAATAATGTTAACCCTCCAAATTACTTTTCCTTGCGTGTTTATCTCAAAAGATTGACCTCATACGTGCGACAATAGGTTTCTCCAGTCGAGAAAAACCGTTGTCGTGCTGTTAAAAACTGATTGATTTTCAACACCATGTGACACCAAGATTCATCTCCCGTGTCTATGACGACTTTTGACTAAAAAAATCAGGGTCAGCTTGTGCCTGTTCTTTCATGTCCTGATGCACTCTCTGGCCATCGGAAAACACAAAGCAATCGTGACGGGTCTGATGTTTAAAGCTTCAGCAAGGATTCCTTGGAACGAAGTCCACGAAATTCCTGTTATCTCTTTCAGTTCCTCTTCTGTACTGCGACGATCGCGCACTTTTTGAAGAATTTCATTTCTTTTAAACGTCGAATGAGATTCATGTTCAAAGAACATTTCGGCACTTTGAAATGGGCAATTCACTAATGCCTGGTCATCTGAGATGGGACAGGGGGTGTCTATTTAATGTACCTAGCGTGGGAGAGGGGAAGTACTGACAACGTGACAACCCACTTGTCTACAGAAAATAATTCTCTTTCGTTTTTCTAATTAACCCTGTATATAAAAGAAAGTCTTATCTATTTTCAGGTTCCGTCCATCCTATGCTGACCGTGACCCATACCTCATTTTCATGCACTGAAGTCCTGAGTAAAAAAAGCGTCGAATCATCCCCATCACACAGCCAAATATCTAGAAATTCTTCAAAAAAATCAAATAACTCTTTACTCATCAATAATGGAAAATTAGAAGGTAAATTGTTTGATTTATCTTGCTAGATGCACATATCCAGGATAATACTTGTGTTATCATTCAACCCCTCTTTTTAGTTAAATTCTTTCTAGCAGGAATTCAGCATTATTTTACTATCATCTATATGTATACACAAATTCATTTCAGCTCAGCATGTTGTTTTTTATTTTAACAACTCAAATCCATATGATATAGTTATCCAATAAAAGATTTGGTTCAGCGTTAATTTAACCAGTCTATAATCTAATTTCTTCTTTGAAATAATTTCGGTATTTATAATAGTAATTAAATTAAAATGTGGGCATCTACTTACGTTCAACTCGAATTGCTGGCTCGTATCAATAAAAGTATATGGTTACAGTAAAACCGGAATTAAAACGACGAATTATTTTTCCGATTGTCATTCAGCCTACGTTTCTCGTTTCGATTTTGTATGAAGCTACTCTGTAAACGTAACTGATCATTTAGGTGTCCCATTTTCTCGAACATAAAAGACGAAAGAACTTGTTTACTGACATAACGATTCCTAACGATTCGTATCTCAAAATAAAAGGTTTTAATAATCGTTATACGAATGCCTTTTATGACGTCAGCTCCGAATCCTATTTCTGTAGTCTGTGGAAACGGAAGACAATAAAGCTTGCCGTTACATAATCTCTAATGTGGAATGAAATACCCACTTGAATTATAAGCGATCTCCTGCCAAGCTATAACCGAATCATTATTGATTTTGAATGGACGCTGCTTTAAATCAAATGAGATTTGGGCAAAATTAGATGGTAATTAAAGAAAAGGGTCGAAATTTCGTTGAATATTTCGTTATTTATACGTTTTGTTGAGCCTAGTTTTTAAAAGACGTTTCGATACCCAGGGTGTCATCTTCAGTTAAGAACTTGCGGAGTTTTAAGTAATGGTGTTTCTTTGGTATAGTTCCACAAAACTCGATTTTACTTTTTATATTAGGCTCCAATTACGTATTTAATAAAGTGATTAAGCGCATATTTAAAATTCATCCCAGCAACATCCTTCTTTATTTTATTGATAACTTGATGTTATCCTTGCAGCAGTTCAACAGGGATCTTATAATTTCAAGGCTTGTTTCTATCTTCCTATTTAATTGTGTGTATTAGATATGAGTTTATCCACTTTGTTTGAAAGAGCATGCTTGGGGGAAGTTGAAATAAGTTCAACTTAATCAGAATGCTGAAAAGAACTGAGCCACTTATGGATTATTTCGTGGTTGTTTTGTTTTTTGAGGATTTTCGTAGTTCTGTTAGTTCGTTTGGTTTTTTATGCTGCACATTAAGTTTAAATGTTTTATTACAGAACTACGACATATCGTTAGAAAGCCAAGTTCTATTGATGTTTATTCAGTTAAAGTGTCGTTAAAGGACATTGTATGTTACTTGTCGTTACTCGAAGCTGGAAGGCCAGAAGACAAACTCGAATGTAATAATGGATGGTGTCGCAGATTCGCGCCAAGCCTTCTCACATTTTTCTCTCTTTTTAGTTATGTTTCGTCTATATGATACTGATGGAAATGGTGTTTTAGATACCAATGAAATGGATTGCATAATAAATCAAATGATGACAGTTGCAGAATATTTGGGATGGGATGTATCCGAACTTAAGCCGGTAAATGACCAACTAACTACCCTTTTACAGCAAAAATAAACAAAAAAAGACACAAAGAACGTACAGGGTCATTTTCGTTTCATAGAAATTACATTTTCTCTTGGAAATTTTAAGAACTTTGACACGTGCTTCGCCAACTAAGTGGGCATCTTGAAAGGAATCGGGAAATTTATTGAATTGTCGAAAATTTAAAAAGCATTAACATTCGCTTTCCATTACATTGCGAATGAATTCCGTCTCAGTTTATTACATTAGGGACTCTTCCAACTTTTCTTGGAAACTAGAGCGTTCTTTTTTTTTTTTTTCGTACATTAAATCTTCGCCTTTTTCCAAAGCGGACGATACCTTTTTAGATTTTCTTCAAATAAATTCCGAGAAAGGTAAGTACACAAAAGGATTTCTTAATTTTCTACAACTATTGCTTGAAAAGTTACGCGTATGTGGAAATACTGACCGAATGTACTTTACTCTTTCAACATAATAACGGACATTACAAAATAATAAGTAATACTTCTGAAGAAGCCTCAAGGAGAGGCGAAACAATTGTAAACTTTTTATTAATTTTGTGGGAATTAAGTTGTGTTTATTTATTTAGTGATCATGAATTTCCATCAAGAAAACGTAAATACCATCAATCATATTAAACAAAATAATAGCTATAAAACTTAGATGGGAGCAAGGGAAAGCCCCGAATCGTTCTTTTAGTCCCCTGCCTTCTTCAAACAACTAGGGCGGCGCCTGTTATAAAAAAACAAAATACAACATTGACGTCTTATTTCTTTTGTAAAAGAATGTTAATGTTAACAAAAATCATTGACTTATAGATTTTACAAGATATGATGGTAGAAATCGATTATGATGCGGACGGTACTGTTTCTTTGGACGAATGGAAAAGAGGTGGACTTACAACAATTCCACTTCTTGTTCTACTGGGTCTGGATACAAATGTTAAAGAGGATGGAAATCACCTTTGGAGGCTCAAACACTTCAGTAGACCGGCTTACTGCAACCTATGTTTAAATATGCTTGTAGGGCTTGGAAAAAAGGGCCTTTGTTGTACATGTACGTCGCAATTTTTTACATTTATTACACAAACGGGAATCTTAAAAACATACAGGGTGATACTTAACGAGGATCATATGCCATTAAATTGTACCAATCTTCCTTTTAACGATCGGATATCATTCTAGTTTGCAAATACACCGTCCATGAAAGATGTGTTCAAAGAGCACCCGCAAGTTGCATAGCGACGTACGTTAAAAGCAAAAAGTCTTCCCAAACCATGCAACACCACTGGGTGGAGGGAAATTGCCACGGGAAATGTGCTCGCTGTCGGAAAACGGTTAAAGCCGGTGTAACTGGATTGCACTGCCGATGGTGTCAAATAACAGTATGTTAATAAATAATATCTGCTCAACACTATTTCATGAAAATCAATCACAACAAACGTCCATTCTAGCTGCATAACAAGTGTGTTTCACATGTAAAGTCGGAATGCAATTTAGGAGAACATGCTATGCATATCCTGCCACCCACTGCTATTTGTCCAATAGTTTTAGATAGGCAAAAATCAATTCAAAAACGAGGATCTCGATATGGATCAGAAAGCTATGTAAGTATTGTCACAAGTACAAGTAAGTAGAGGTTCCTGATGCATGCTTCACCCGATGATTTTACTCAAAAAAATACCTACTTTTAGTCATGTGAAGATTGCCACCATGAACTTTTGCGCCGGTTTTAAATTTTCTGTCTTGTGCCTTTCACGACCGTGTACATTTAAAGAGGAACTTTAAAAGCGATGCACGGTGCAACGGTCGAGACTTTCGACTCCGACGATTTCAAAGTCAAACCGACAAGCCAGGCGTAGTCGGCCGACGGCCGAAGAGTCGCTCGAACGATTGACCGATTCACCGCGCATCGTTTGATAGTTCGCGCGGTGCAATGGTTGGACGTTGCGCGGTGCAACGGTCGGAACGTTCAGTCCGACGATTTCGTAATCGAACCGACCCGCCAGGCTTGGTCTTTCGACATACGATGAGTCGCCCACACACCAAAATTTCATGAAAATACATAGGTTTTTATGACAACCGTTTCAGTAACACACTCTTTTGTAAAAGTTATAGCGATCCAAAATTTCTATAAAACATTCTCACTAAGCAAATTATAATGTGCCCATCCCTCGTTGTGCAGAGTTCAAAAAAGACCCCAGCCAACATGCTTAACCCATTTAATCCTTCAGTGTCGAACACTGTTCCATCCTTTGTGGTTCGTTTCACAGTTTTTGTGTAGTATTATGTACCATCGTCATGTGAGTAAGGACTTTAACCGAATTTAACGATGTATCCATGTCAAAAAGTCAATCAAGTCTTTGCAAAGTAATTTTTATTTTTATGCTCCTTAAGGGTGATAAGCAGAATATATGTAAGCTTCCCCTTATACATTAATTATTAACGTATTTTTATTAAAGGTTTCGAAAAATGATACGAAACAGCCACCCATGTCGTTTCAAATAACCCCACCCCCAAACACAATACCTGTCTTAGTTTTTATTAATCCTAAATCTGGAGGACGGCAAGGAATACGGATTCTAAGAAAATTTCAGTACATCTTGAATCCCAGACAAGTTCACAACTTGGCAACTGGGGGTCCCATGCAAGGTTTAACTATGTTCAAAGACGTTCCAAACTTTAACGTAATTTGCTGCGGCGGTGACGGAACAGTGGGGTGGATTTTAGAAAGTATGGGTAAGTTAATGTGACAATTCTTTTATTATTGCATTTTATACACACGTTTATCGATCATTTGCCAAGTCAAAAATTGGTAGAAATCAGAAAGAATTTTGTTGAAATGGAGATACCACCGGGCAAAAGTGGGTTTAAAACTTTTAAAGACCAAATACAAAAATAAGTACCTACCTACGTATCTCGTTGCTTACGACTGAAGTAAATACTTGTTACATCAAATTAATTGAGTGAATTAGAAGAACAAAAGAGGGAGAACAAGAATCTATGACTCTCGAGGCCTAGCGCTTCTCAGACTCTCAATAAAAACTTATTACAGAGTCTACTAATGTTCGGGGCATGGATGTGGGAAAGTTTCATTATACGTAACGGTATCTTAAGACGATATTATTTTATAGATAAAGTTGAACTGGAATGTCAACCAGGAGTAGCTGTGATTCCTTTAGGTACAGGAAACGATTTGGCTCGTTGCCTTCGGTGGGGCGGTGGATATGAGGGTGAATCGGCTCAGAAAATTTTACACAAAGTGAAGAATGCGACCACGGTAATGATGGACCGCTGGAATATTGATGTGAAGGAAACGAATCCACCTGAGCAAAATCGCAACCCTCTCAATTATAAAATTCCGTACAATATTATCAACAACTACTTCTCAGTTGGAGTGGTAATTACAAATAATACAGTGCAACAATTCTGAAGGAAACAGAATTTTAATTGATTGGGAATATTTTAGGACGCTGCTATTTGTGTTAAGTTTCACCTGGAGAGAGAAAAAAATCCAGAGAAGTTCAACAGCAGAATGAAAAACAAATTGTGGTATTTTGAATACGCAACATCGGAACAATTCGCGGCTTCCTGTAAGAATTTACACGAGCACGTAGAAATTATTGTAAGTCGATTAAAGTTTACGTACACTGCGGATATAAAAAACGTATGGCATTTACAGTGCGATGGTGTATCGCTGGATTTGGCAAACGGCCCCGCACTTCAGGGAATTGCTCTACTCAATATACCCTACACTCACGGAGGGTCGAATTTATGGGGAGAACACATAGCAAATCTCAAAAAGAAAAAGAAGAAAAAACGGATTAGCACACAAAAAGAGTTGAGCACAAGCAGTTTCAATTCCATCGATCTCAAATTAGCAGTGCAGGGTAAGTCAAACGATAGAGATAATCCTAAAACTGTAAAAGAAAGGTCATTTTATAGTTTTATTAGTAATCGGCTGATCTAATGCTTTAGATCTTCAACATATCATTTCATAATTTTTTTGCCTTGATTCTAGTCAAAATACTTTTGCATGCTTCAAATTACTTTTAATTTTATCAATAATTGAACAATTGCTGCTTATAAATTCTCATGCGTTGGATTTTCTCTAAATCAAAAGTGATTACGTCCTTACACCTTCTCTAGTATACATCGAGGAATAATTCCGACAAACTTTCAAATTTTCTAGCTATAGTAATTTTCGAATACTAGCTGATCGTTTCAAATGTAACATAAACAACGTTACTCGCAATTGCAGCATCCCCCTTATAGTACCGAAAATAAAGAGGTAATGTCGGTAGATATACTATGACACTTCTGGACCAAAATCCCATGTACAAATCATTTCAAATTGGTTAGAGATTTGCCCCTCTCCCTTTACCTGATTACACCGTGACAAAATCCAAAATTTAATCATATTTTCATCATCATACAATGTTTTATGCCAAGAATATTTGCCCAACTTTATTACAAACTGACAATTTCAATATAATAATATAATTCAGTACATACTCATGTGTAAAAAAACAAACGTAAATGTAAAGATCATTCATTTCTTTAAAAAGTAGACTTACAATATTTATTTATACATTAAATTAACCTTCATAAAATTTTGGAATAGAATCGCCCTCAAAAATGTGCCTCTCGATACCTTTCTCTGTTATAATGCCAATGCGAATAACTCCTCCTGATGAGCCATCTCTAGCCATTGCAAGAGCAAGCGCTGAAATAAAAAACATTTAGATACTCTCCTATAAACCAAATAAATACAGCATTGGTCAAAAGATCATGTAAAGACTTTTCTAAGATATGTGTTTTCACAAAAAAAGTGAGCTCATCATACTTGGTAGTATCATAATAGTCATTTAAACAAAGAAGAAATACAAACTGAGCCTTGTGAAGTACATTTTACATTTTCTAATAAACTAGGAAAATCCCATTAGTCACCTATTCTTTTCTATATCTTCTAGTTAATAATTTATCTACCCTCTTATTTATAAAGTATTTATATTTTTACTCACAATTTTTAACAAATTCCACTGATTCATTTTGAGTCATTCCTGGTTTATAATTTGCATCAACATAGCCATAAACATAGGTTGAACCAGATCCTCCAATTGATACAGGTTGCCGAACACACATTCCTCCTATTGGAATAGAATACACTTGCCCACCTTTCTTACGATCCCATCCAGCAACAATCAAACCTGCCATTAATGAATCACGGTAATTGTAACACAGTTCCTTACAAACAGCAGCTCCACTTTCAACGAGAGGAGCTTCACCAAGCTCCGTTCTAAGAGAATATAAAGTAATTCTTTTGATTTATGTTATAGTTTTAAATACCTACGCATGAAAATTTAAATTATACACCACCACATCAACAATAGCTTGTGTATCAGCTGATGATCCTGAACGACAACAGTAAATGTGATCTGTTATTTTCGTTAACTTATCAGCATAGCGGTTTGCAATGTATGCTCTGAAATCAAGAAATGCAACTTAATAATTGGTATATTTTTTATCAACAAAATTTTCTACCCAGTGGTTGAACGAGAATCAGCTCCAATAACAACTCCACCATCAAATTCAACTGCCATTATAGAGGTCTTAAAAGAAAAGACACCTTTAGTGTTTAATCAATATACACAAATTTTACATTACATACACCTGTACTATGAGGAGCATCTATCCAGTCATGCGAACACATATTATCGTAGCTAGCAATAGGAGCATTCATAGCTAAACTCATTTTCTTACAATTTTTAAACAGCAAAAACTGTATACCTAAATATTCACTAAAGTGCTTTATCACTCCAAAACAACGATCAATGATTGTTGGTTATGTTTCAGCGCATGATTTCTAAATGTCATCCATAGACATGATGTCATCCATAGATAAGACATCATCCATGTGTATTAATCATACAGTGGAGCAAATAATATAATGAACGAAAGTTATACTGAAATTTTAAATCTAATTGTAAAAAACTTCTCAATGACCTCAACACTAATAAGTATCGGTTTTTCATACATGAATAATTATATAAAAGAAATTATGAGTGCTGTCAGCACAGGGCAAAGAAGTATTACGTAGTTTATACTAGCAATTTCTTATGCTGCAGTGTACGATGTGTTGCATACCTATTTACAAACAATTCCTTTAAATCTAATTTTTCAAACAATTTTTAACACAAAGAAATTGATTAAACAAATAGTTTACAAAAGTAAATTTCGAAAAAAAGGAATGAGCTATTACTAAATATGGTTTCTAATAAATGAATAGCAATATAAATAAGAAAATAAGACTAATTACTGCAAACAAAACAATAACATTTTTATTTAATTTTTTTATGCTGACATTTTAAAAAATACTTATCAATAATGAGAGTATACTTAAAATTTCATTATTTAATTAAGCTACCTTAAGTTTTCGTTATGTTGGTTGTTTTTCCAGATATAGGAGATAGTTTAATCGAAGTTATTGGATTAGAGAATTGTCTGCATATGGGCCAAGTACGAACAGGTTTAAGAGCAAGTGGAAGAAGATTAGCGCAATGCTCATCTGTTACGATTACTACAAAAAAAACTTTTCCAATGCAAATCGATGGAGAACCATGGATGCAACCAGCTGCAGAGGTGTTATATTTTGTAACTGCACTTTATGATATCCTTTTACTGGTTTTTTTTTTCAGATTCATATTAGCCACAAAAACCAAGTCCCTATGTTAATGGCTCCGCCACCAGAAAAAGGGAAAGGTATTTTTAGTTTTTTCAAAAAATAGGTAGGCTATTTGCCTATTAATTCCAGTTCTACCAAAGTTTTAAAGACTACCGTTACTCTAGTCATTTATTATTATTAAAGACAATAATTATTTTTTTTAAAGCACTTATTTTTTGTTTACAATGAATATGTGCAATTTTAAACAGTATTATTTAGAAGTAAGTCAACTAAAGATTAAGAACAGTCCTAATTACACATAATTTACAAAAAAAACAGATGCATGTGCACTTTAGTAACAGCACCTTATTAAACTCTATAATTTACATAGTTTCAATACTAGGGACCATAAAATCTAATGCAGTTGTACATTTGCTGGTTTTAGATGAAATGTGCTAAAATTATTAAAAAACTGGTATTGTAAGAAAATATTCTACTTTTTGTCTTTTTCTGTTTTTGCCAAATGTAAAAATAACGTGGGCCTACAAGAATATCTTTTTTGAGAACAGTATTCGTTCGCCAACCTGCAACGGTTTATAATTTTATGATTTTTTATGTTAAATATATTTTAATTCATGAATTCAATAAATAATTGTGAACATTTAATAAAAAAGGGAATAACACTGATTTTTAAAAGATTAACAGGTAGATTTTAATTTTTTTTTTTCAGTAAAGTGNCAGTGCTTTTTAAACATTATTTTTGAAAACATGTGTACAATTTTATAGTGAGACTAATGTTAGTACATTTGTTTATATATTTATACGTACATTTCTATATATGACATGTCCATTAATAATCTAAATAATTAGATACCTATAATTTTCGCTTATTTTTAAGAAGCATTAAAACTTTTATCAACTAACTATACCGAGGGAGAGAGTAGGTACGTATTAAAACGCAAGTCATTGCTACTCACCTCTTCCATAAAAAACACATCATAAACTTTATTAAATTTTAAAATTAGATAAAGATCATTTACACATAACAAGGATGTTCTGGAAAACGTTTAACTAAACGTTCAGGTATGTAGATTGTCATGTAGCGTGACTGAATTATTTCAGAAAGTCTTAAATTATTGTTGTATTTAAGCTATAATAGTATTCAGGCTGATTATACAGGGATCACACAGAGTGTAACAAAAAAAAACCTTTTGGGTGTTTTATTCTACCAGCTACTAATGCCGGTGGGCAGGCAGTCCCTCCAGGCTACACCTGAGGGTAGGGTGGAAGGTCCTCCTTTAGGAAATATAGGAATGGGTGGGTGGTAGTTAGGGTAACAAAGATGAGACGGACCAAATGAAGACAGGAGGACACGAAATATTATCTGTAGAATATTACTGCCCTAGCATTTGTCTAATTGAAACAAGTAAACCTCAGAAACGTAGACCAGGGAAAACAAACCCGGAATCGAACCGGTGTCTTCTCGAGTGCTAAGCAAAGGTCTAAACCTCTAGGTTGCGCAGTAAGCCAAATGTGAAACTTTGCACATTGATAGTTTAGCATGGTTTTCCTGCCCACTCCTGACTTTTGTTGGGTGTATAGCATTACGCTCTTCACAAAACAGTTAGACATGAATACTTTCCTAATATCAAATGCAATATATTGACAATCTGCCTAAACGTTTGTTAGCTATTCTAAAGAACAACAATGTTTTATAACAATCCCAATTAAAATGAAAACGCGTTAAAAATTTTAAGTATTCTATTGTCAACATTTAATTATACATATGTGACGAAAATCACTAAACCCCAATCGTACTAATTGCACTAACAAAAAGTTTATTAGCAGGGAAACACTTGTAATAATATTATAAAAAAAAAAATACAGACGCGTATATCATGGGAACTGTCCCAGGAACTGCATGATCGTCCTCATGTGAATTAAAGAATTATTTATACGCAACATTATCGGAATATTTGAAACTTAGTTAGTTAAGGGAATCCCAAAAATGAATAATATTTGTTATTGGTGTGTTAACTTATTTTTTTTAAAATTAAAAATATAAAAATTTTTCATGTCCAACTAGTCAACAAATCGCGTTAAAACGCCTTTCCCTGCCTTGTAAATTTTAAAGTGTTCAATATACGATAGACAAGTTAGTAATAATAACACATATCAAGTGGGTTTATATGTAATTTAAAAAGAATGCTAAATAAAGCTGACATTTTGGACAAAAATTGTTTCAGGGTTATCACATAAAACAACAGCTGCATAAAAACTTATAAGAATTTTTCCCTTTTCATTAAGCAAATTAAGCTTGAAGATTTATCTTCATAAGGATTGTAATGAAGATTACAGGAGATCTATGTCTAATAAACTTGTAATGAGGCTTCAACCAAATCAAAATTATTGTATGTTGCAGTTGAAACCTTTTTATTTTTAACATCAACTTGAACCAGAAAATTTTTACACTTATTTGCTTACCCATTACTAATGTAACATCAAGAACAGAAATTTAAAGTGTAAAAAGTTAAATGACTTTGTCAAATTTTACTTTGTGTTTAAATTCTTGAAGCTAATTGCAATAAAAATGTTCATTACGATCCTAATATTATTATAGTAAGAATTAAGGTTTTCTTCACATTTACTTTTTGCAGTAGTTGTTCACTTCTTAGTGATAGTAATGACGTGCCAAAAAAAAAAGGAAACTAATGAATTTAGTAATCTCTTTATAGAGTAAGTAAATTAAATTGAACGTGGCGAAAAAAATTGAATTTAAAAAACATGTACCTTTCTTAATTAAGTACATGTAGTTTATACTAGCAATTTCTTATGCTGCAGTGTACGATGTGTTGCATACCTATTTACAAACAATTCCTTTAAATCTAATTTTTCAAACAATTTTTAACACAAAGAAATTGATTAAACAAATAGTTTACAAAAGTAAATTTCGAAAAAAAGGAATGAGCTATTACTAAATATGGTTTCTAATAAATGAATAGCAATATAAATAAGAAAATAAGACTAATTANATATATATTGCCTATCAAAAAATTGTTACATTCATTGCGTACATGTAGTGCTTGTACTAACTTATCTTACAATGTTTTTACTATGTTGTAACTGTATATAAGTACCTTTTTTGTTGTGTATCAAAATTGTTAATAAAAATATGAAAAATAAATTAATTTATGTCGTCGAAACTTTTTGTTAAATAATTTTTATTTAAAAACTGAAATTGCTACAAAGCTTTAACTATGTATTATAAAATCAAAGACTATGTATTAGTGTAGGATGATTATTTATTATATACATTCTAGAATTTAAATAACTAAGCATTTTGCCTTGACTTGTTGCATTAGTGTTTAAAGAACGTAAATAGTGTTATTCATTGTAAGTATGAGGTCCCACTGTTTATTAAATAATAATGGCGTTTTCATATTTCTATTAAACCTATATAGTTGATCATAAAATAGATCCTTACTAAGAAAAATAAACGAAAAGCTTGAAGAATTACTATTTGAATATCAAACGAAAATGGAAGGTTGATAGTGGAATTTATTAAATTAACTCATGATAATTATCAAGTTTACACACAACTTTATAAGTTGAGTGCAGGCTTTCGAGGGCGTTGTTTATTATGGAAACTTATTTATCTGTAAAATATCTTACCGATTCCCCGCTATTTTAATTAACGGGTAAGAAAAATAGAAACAATATCTCATAAAAAAATATATATTTGTTTCGTATAAAGATGTTTAAAATGTACAGTGTTTCCCGTTGATTATCAATACAGCGTAAACATTTTGTACCTTTCTTATGTGTAATTAAAAATGAGTTGCACAATAATAAAATCATATTTTCTATCAATAAGTAAATTATTTGTAATGTATATCTTATATCCCTATATGTATACATAAAATGCATTGTAAAAGCACTAAGTTGTCCTTAATGAATTATTTCTTTGCAAAACTGTACATTATCTTGTAATATTTATAAAATATCTCGTTTAAATTTTTAAACCTAGATAACTAAACATGTAAAAAGCCATTAATCTGTCAGTATGACTGTTCGAAGTGCATCTTCAGGTTTAATTTCTAACACAGCCACAACGCCATCATTAAATTCATAAGAAACTCCTCCATCTACCACTAGGCATGCGTCTATACATTTAGACCTGACTTGAATTTTATTAACAAAACCCCTAGGTTTAAGACCTTTTGGTTGAGGCCAAACTCCAACCGAAATTAATTCTCTTACAGTGTATCCCATTCGAGGATCATCTGAAATATAAATTATAAATTGATTTTAAGAAAAAAAAACGCTACACCCTACAACCATCGAATATTGGCATTTAACGATGCTCAACACGTCAATTAAAAATTCCGATTAAATTAATATCCCGGATATCGCAAGTAGGAGCGTACTTAACTTTTTTAACTAAACTATTACATATTATTGTTATTATTGTCATTTAGCTTTTTACCTTATTAGTACATAAATGTGCACTTACCTGGATTGAACAGTAGATTCTGATTGTAAATATCGGCCAAAACAGTAGCTAAACTATCTTTATCTTCTGTAGCTTCAATGTCCATTAGCCTTAGCAACTCGGCAACTGTTTGCACTGGTATTCGGTTGATACTCATATGCCATGATGTTGAGCCAGTACCAGTACAAACACAAAGACCCGAGCTCTTCAGATTAGTTGATTCTTCACTGTCATTTAAATACATTTCTAAATGTGATACTTTGGCCGCTAAAGATTCTCCAATAAAAACCTAAATTTCATTAAAACAATTTAGTAATCAATTTTCTACAAATATAGACAGTTAGTACTTCATTTAATGCTAGAAAAGGTAGAATTGTCCCCATATCTTCAGCATATTTGTAGGTGGGTTCACATGAATAAGCATCTTCTGGAGTTTCAACAATGTGTAAATATTTTGGCACTAATTTCTTGCTTTGGCAAAATAAGGAAGTTCTTATCCTACTTCTAAGTAACCACTGAAAATTTCCCTAAAATAAATAAATTATAACTAATTATTCTGCTGTTTCAAAATCATATCTTTCACATGTTTAAACCACAGATACTGTTTAACTTCTTAAATGTGAAAATCACTTACTCACATTTTTAAGTTCATCAATAGCTTTTGTTATATCAGATGAATATTTTTTCGGAAGACACAAATGCCCCTCAGATCTTCTTGGATCAGAATTAAATCCAATCACAGGCTTTAAATTATTTTTTACTCTACTGGCAGCAAGTAAAAAAGTACCATCACCACCAGCAGGCACAACTACATCGGCCCACTCAGTCTGCTCCTCTTTTAAACTAAATCTAAAAGTTACAAAATTTAACAGCTTTTCTGCTTTAATCTAATATTAGTACCTGTTAACCACTTTTACAACAGCATTAAAACTTTTAAAACTTTCAACAACTTTATTCTCAAATGTTTTATGCAAATCATGATTATAGAGAAGACTATTATAATCGGTACCTCTACTGACTAGTTCTTTTTTTAATTCATCTTCACTTATATATTTAAATTTCGATCTTTCATATTCCAATCGAGACAATTTGGACACAACTAACACATTTTCCATTTTAAGAGGAAGTTTGCAGTCTCCATATCTTCGTGAATTTTTATCAAGGCCATTATTGGTACCTAATAGTTTACAAAAAGCAAAAACTAACTTCTGATATTTATTTTAAACATTAAAATATGTTACATAAAATTCTAAATACCTACTTCATATGTGTATATCAACAGAGTATTCAAACATTATCTAACATAAGAATCATCTAGAGCAATCAAATTAATAAGAGTTATATTGTGAAACTATATAACAACAAATATATCTACTTCTATTATGGTAATTTTGTATAACGGCAAATAGTTCATTTTTTCTTACCTGAAATAATTTTTTTTAAAATCTGCACTTTATATTTAAACATTGGAAAAGAAAATGAATAAGATCAACTTCATTTAAACTCTAGAAAGTAACGTTGCAGATTATGTTTAGAAATAAATATCGAACAGTTTTATGCACAACATATCATTTTTTTTTATCATTAAACGTTTACGTCTACTACTCCTTTAAATTTTTTATAATTTATTTTTTCCACACAAGTTTTACAATGATGAGTAGAAACATAACCTTGACACTTTATGATTGTAAAACACCAGCAAAATCTAATACAACAGTAATACACCAATAACAATCTCAAACTCTGTGTTATAAGTTGTCATTTCGTTTTGTGATATCGTAATATGACTTTATTGTTCTTAGTTAATGATATTTTATTCTAAAATTGCTGTAGATTACAGATTGACAGATTCATTGAATTGCAGGTTATATCCTTTATCTATGATATGAACATAATAAACAACATGGAATCAACAAAAAACCGCAGATTTTAATACAGACTAGAACTTCCCTCCTATCCAGTAACTGTGAGCTCAAAACTGTTAGCACCATTGCTTCGAGTGGTCGAAATTCACTTTTGTGAACAATACTATGACTTTGTGTCGGCCATCATTCTTTTCTAATTGTTGCTGTTGTCGGCCATCATTCTTTTTCAATTGTTGTCGCATTGTTACTGATGTCGGCCATCATTCTTTTCTAATTGTTGCTGTTGTCGGCCATCATTCTTTTTCAATTGTTGTCGCATTGTTACTGATGTCGGCCATCATTCTTTTCTAATTGTTGCTGTTGTCGGCCATCATTCTTTTTCAATTGTTGTCGCATTGTTACTAATGTCGGCCATCATGCTTTTTTAATAGATGTATAGTAATCAATGATTAAAATTTAAAGGAATTATTTGTATATAGGTACGCAACACATCATACACTTTCAGCATAAGAAATTGCTTATACTAACTTTCATTTATGTAATACTACTTTGCTGACAGCACACATATTTTTTTTATACACAATTATGATCAGATTAATGGGACTGATACCATGGGAACTGCTCTTATGATAGTGTCGGGCACTAAAACTGTGCATTCCTTTATTTTCTTTAAACTAGGATGAACGATTTAAATGAAAGATTTAATTAATAGGAATTCAAATAAAACGCATTAATTACAAGTGAACTACTTTATTAATTAAACTTATTAGTTCCTTTCATGCAATTTCACATATTGTATTATCATTTGTACAGATTTCTCAACTTTAACAACTCGTCGTTTTAAACATGAACGTTTCATAATCATTTTCTATAATAAACTATTTTATTTTTCAACGAAGTTTGTGTCTACCATCAGTACAATGCATTAATGTATAATGTAATATATTCGTGCTTGGGTATTTATAATAAAAAGATAAAAAAACATTAACATCAGCAATAAAAATGCATTCACCTAATATGTATGTATACTTAAATATTTGGTGGCGCCAAAAATAAATATATACGTACAAATCTGATTCTGTGTAGGTACTAACAACAAATCGTAGATTAATCATATACTTAGAATTATTTCTAGTATATGAGATTAACGTGAAATATTTTACATTAGGTAGATATTTAGACATCTGGTTATACCTTTTGTTCTTGCGCAAAAATATTGTGGATGTTTTGAACATTTGTTGTCTATAATTTTTTAACTAATAAAGATTAAGATTGAGCTAGGTATTATAAAAAATATGTGATCAATGGTATAAAAATCGGAACAGTTATAAATATTTTGGACGAACGATTACACATGTCTTCTTCGCAAAAACACATATGCCCTGTTCCGCTGCTCTCCATCATGCAAACATGATCCACCATGAAGAGATTTATTTGCAAATGAGATGTACAAGTCCTACGAACTACTTCGTACGCTAGAAAGAAAACAATAAAAATTACTTTGTTGTACCAGCTCATGCTAGTGCGGGGGTAGTCCCACCGAACTACGTTGCGATGGAAGGTAGGATAGGCAGGCCTTTTAGAATCGTGGAAATGGGTGGATGGGTGTTTTTTACAGAAAAATAAATGAAACGGAAGTGAAGCATAAACCATACAAAAAATTGTATCGCGTCAGATAAACCCACAATCAACTGGTGTCTTTCTCGATGCTAAGCTATGATCTAGACCGCTAGACTACGTTCTTGGTAATAGTATGTCTGGTCCTTTTGGGTGTTTAATTTTCCCACCATCTAATCTGGTGGTCGGGCAGTCTCTCCGAACTAGGCGATCGGAGGGTAAGGCGAAAGGCCCTCTTCAGCTACCTTTCAGGAACCGTGAGAATGGCGGTTAGGGTGAGAGAGATGAAACAGACGAAATGAAAACAGAAGAGATTGAAAGATTATACATGAAATATTTTTCTGTCCCGGCATTTGCCTGAGAGATCTAAGGAAACCCCAGAGAAACTTGGGCCAGGACAGACTCCAGAATGCTAAGCAATGGTCTAAACGTTTATACTAACACAGCCCTACAATACAGTCTTACATTTATCTCCCAAAATTCACCATCCATTTTTAATTAACCCTCATTATTGGACAGAAATGAACATCTGCATCGATAATACTTTTCGTATTTCTAAAGTTAATTGAAGATCTACATACGGTCAAATACTTACGAGATTTAGCGTGTCTAACCATTTTAACGCAACATCCGTTACAAGTCATCAACGGTGGTTGATCCATAGGAAGGGCAGTGTAGTTAAAAGGATCCTTACATCTCGAATCCGTCCAACTGTCACACTCATAGCAATAAATCTGTCTAGCTGAAAACAGCAAATAATTAAACAATTATGGTACAAACATTATTCGTAGGCAGATTAGAAACCTCTATAAACATTACTTTACAACTTTAAATTAATATATTATACATCCAAGGAAGAAAGTAAGACATTCTCTTCCGCGTGTGAATTATCACCCGAGCCTATTGTAAGTGCGGCAAACTCCCCAAACCCCTACCGAAAGTAGTATATTTTTCACTAATTTCAGGGAGGAAAGCGCAACATTCCCTCTTATAGCATTTATTCGGCAAGTATTTTAACATCCGCCTTGCGGAAGATGGCAAAATCCTCGCGATAAACTTTTGGTTTTCTTTGTACTTGATACTTAATTGGGTCCTGGACTAATTACCATTAAAAAATACCTACTTTATTGGGTTAGTTGTCGACGACAAATATTTTTAAATTCAATGCTTAGCATTACTTTTAAATCTCCTCATTGTTCAATCTTAACATTAATGTTAAGACTCTTAAAGTTCGTGAAAAAAAAACAAGAAATTCCGAAAAAGTGATAAAATGTATAACGTTTTCAAATAAATTGTGCAATGAGATCCTGGTAATTTTTTAGAGAAGATAATGGCTATTTACGCGATTTTTGAAAATAGTTTGTTAATAACAGATCAAAATAAGTGTTTCACCTGTTTGCGAGGTTTTCTATAATAAAAATAACACTGGACATAATAGACATCTTATTAAATTTTAATCCCTTTTTGTTTACTTTCTTGGCTTCCTTTGAAGATGCATTTGTTACAATGCATTGAAATTAGATACTGTAAAGGTACTAGGCTTATTCTAAGAAAATAGTGATATCTTCTAAAACTTTTGAAGTATAATTTTAGTGTTTCAAATATGTATAAAGCTTTCTACAAAAGGAAGTAAATTATATTTATAATTTTAATGCTACTACTATTTGAAATATTAATAATTGATATCAGGATCATACTATATAAATATAGTAATCCCATCCCTTATGTTTAATAAAGGATTAGAAAACAAAAAATGCACTTACTTTGACATTCTGCTTTTGTTAAATTTATTATTGCAAGCAGGATTAGAGCTAGAAAAAAGAGATGGACATTAGTATTTTTAATGAATACCTATAAAAAAAGCTGACAAGTTACCAATAATATAAAATAGATTTAAAACATTCATGATAGGTAGTGCACTATCGTTAGTGTACTTTACGCACTGTGAATCATTGTGTCTACAGCTACTCTTAAATGATTATTTGTATTTTGGATTTACGCCAGTCTCATGCATTTCATTTTTAATACTAACCAGTAAAATAAAATTACATTAGCATGCCAAATGTATCTGCACCATAAGAAATTTCTATATTTATGATATTTATGTTACTTTCCTGACCAATCTTTCATGTCAAGCATCAGTTGTGGTAACTTTTGGAACTCCTACAAACTTTTAATGTGAATTTTTGAAAACACGAATACCGTCAAGTAACTATATGTTGCGACAAATGTAAATAGATCGTTCCGTAAAAATTCATCCCATTATTTTCCTACTCGATTTTTAAGGAGGTTCGGAAGTTTAACTAATTATACGAGAAACTTCTGCTAAATTTAATTTAGTGCGAAGTTGTTAAAAATTAGCGTTAAAAAAAGACATAAAAAATAATAGCGCATTTAAGTACTTTATCTTCTCTTAGCTTCAAATTTAACTTGAAAAACTTTTTTAACTGCAGTTTCCTACCTTTCTGTACCACCGCTCCCATTTAAACTTGAACGTTCTTATTTTACAAAAAAATTATTGTGCGTATCACAGTTTTCGTAACTATACAATAATTTAGCAACTGATACAACAGAGCAAATATTGTAGTGTTATAAGTTATACGTAGGATAGCATTTTGAAATACGTATTAGAAAAAACAATTTGATAGTAGATTATGTTAGAACACAATGTTTCAGAAATTAAAAATGAATCTGTTAACTTACGAATGCAACATCTGCTTTGTGAGGTATGAAGGAAGAGTATTAGAACTGAAAATACAACGTTTAAAATAGATTAACAACAATAGAAATGTTAATGAAACTGATGATGATATTCTTTTACATAAGATGAGTAGGTTGTTTCGTTTATTAATAAATATGTTACTACTAGGTAACCTACTTATACATTTTCTCCGCATTTATGTCTAATTTTACCAAGATGTTTTTTAGTTACATACTTATGCTTTCGCTAAGATAATAGTAAAAGTTTATTTCAGGATTTAAATTCAACGGAATGATACATATATTCATTCGCAAAATTATACCTAGATACTTTTTGATAAAACGTTTAAAATTGAACGAAAATTAGGTACCAATAAAAAAAGTTGCAAATAAAAATATTGTTGAGCGTTACTTACCTAGTGCAGGAGCAACACTTTTCTTCATTATTTTCGGAAATTATTGTCGAATTGCTTCAGTCGCTGATATGTAACGTTTTCATTAAACCCTTCAAATTCATTGTAAGCGTAATTGTATAGAATATTCAGAACAAGTTCCATTTTCTACATTAAAAAATCTCTGTAGACATTTCGATCATTTAATGACCGTTTTCGTAAAATCATTTCGTATCAACACACTGTTATAGGTACTTAATATTTGTTACCGCGATGCTCGCGATATGCAGCCCAAGTAGGTTTGCTATTGATTTATCTCGCGCTTCTAAAAAACTACGCGAATGCGTCAAATACGGAATCATGAAAAATCAGAAGTGTACTAATAAATTAAATTCAAACAAGAACATCGAAGAAAACGATGTACTACTTACAATTGTAGCTAAACTAAAATCCCCTAACACAAATAAATAAAGAAATGCGAAAATTATTTATTTTCTCACCCTGCATAAAACGTCACAAGCCAAAATTGCTCATAAAGACATTTAAAAAACCTTTGCAGTTTAGTCTGTAATCCTACCTTAAGGGCTTTCTAAAAGTTTTTATATGGAGTTTTGGATTGTACCACAAAACTTCTTTTGATTTTCTTTATCTTTCACTTTGACATAAAATGTGCTTTTATCCTTTCTTTCCATTTAATAGACAGGATAGGTTGTTAGGACATCTTCTCAGACATAAAAAACTAATTTTAGAAACATATTAGAAGGAGAAACGAGAGTTAAGATGGGCAAAATTAAACCCAGATTACATTACCGTTCACAAATTGTTGGGGATATGGGATGTTCTAGTTTTAGGGAAGTGCGAAAGTTAGCTCAGGATAGGAAAGAGTGGAGGTGTGTGTCCAGCCACAGTCTTAGGAATGGCAACGCTATGACGATAACAATAATGATCCATTCATTCTTTAATCATTACAAGCAAAGTTTTAATTTAAAAGATACTAATAATTATAAAATAACTACTTTCTACGTAAGCTCCTAAGCTTAATTGAATGCGGAACTTTTAAAACGCGAGTCCTATACTCATTCGATTTTGATTGTGATTTTATAATCATGCTGCAATAGATTTAATTGTTTGTATAATCATTTTAAGACACTCAATCCTTAGACTTTTAGAGTATCAAATTAAAAACTTATACGAAACGAAAATATGATCTACGATCAATAGATCGAACTCAAAAATTTGAGTTACCATTTAATTAGCAATCATGAAGCTTTTATATAGGCAACCCAAAAGACACAGCTGAAATAGAATAAGCTAACGTGAGAGTACACAAATCTGTGCAGTTTTCTGTTAGCTAGCTCGATGATGAAATCAGTTGTGAACTTGAAGAGAAGATGTCAGTACGGGTTCTATGTGGAAATAAAATTCCATGAAAAAACGAGATAACAAGACTTCAGAGGAAGAGCGAAAACTGAAGAGTTGCTCAAACGTCAAAATATTAATAATGTAGTGGTACTGGAGTAATTCTTTTTTTGGAAGAAAATACAAACTAAATGTCACACGTAATGTCAGTGAATTTATGTACAATGCAAGTGGTTGATGTGTTATTACCCTTTTAAATTGGATAATTTTGTTGTGTAAATTGACTGTTTGTGATTTTATTTTGATTTTTATTTAGTGCTCTCTTTTAATCTGCATTGTTTTAAAGATGGCTAAGAGGTTAACTGAGGAAATGGTTATTGCAAGAACAAAAATTTCAGATTTGTCTAAAATTCGAAGGCTTAACTGTTGGTAAGTTTAATTTTACAAATTAGTACCTATTCATTTCTTTAAATATAAAAAAAATTTCTGCATACTCTTTTATCTTTCAGGGGAAGTGAACTTGTTGATGTATCTCTTTTACAAAAAATGCCAAATGTGGAAGTTCTCTCTTTAAGGTAATATCAATTTTTATTCAGTGCTTGCAAGAATTAAATGCAATTTTCATTAACTAATACATAATTTAATTTTATAGCCAACTTTTACTTAGATTTCTTCGTTTTGACTAAGCATTTTTTAATGATATAAGATAAACATTTTATTATAATCAGTTTAATATGAAGCTATTTAATGGAGGTACCCAAGTCACCTTTACTACAAATAATAGGAGACTGTAGTAAAGAAATATTCTTCACAATTGTTCCCCTAATACATTTCAAAGAAGAAACTCAAGCAAATTGTTTTGAAATTTCACCCCTTGGATTTGCTTGAGTATCTTCACTATAGTAAAGAAATGTGTGAAACTGTCTCAGATTCAGCATGACTAAACTTACCCCAACCCACTTAAAATAACTTAAAATAAGTAATATTTTATGTTGTTTTCATAAACAAGTAAGCAATACAGTTCTCTGCAGTGTAGAAACTATTTTACACTAATGTACCAGGCAGGTACATGTAAAGGTTTAGTTTTATTTCTTATTTTCTTTTGTTTTAAATTTCTTTATATATAGACATCATATATTTTTTTACATTTCATGGTACAATTATTTCAATATGTGTATGTATATGGTTGCATGTTAGATATCTGCTTTTTGTCATGTCATATAACAAAATATAAAATCGTTTTAAGGCATGACAAGGTCGCTCCCATATAAAACTGTTTACAAATAAACTTTTTAAATTGCAAGCATAGGGAGGTGTTTGTATTGATGCTTAAAAAAGTATACCTATTGTTGAAATTAGTGTAGAAAATTGAATTCTTTTTGGAAATTTAAGTCTTTAATTTATAATCCCCCAAAATGATGTGTCCATAATATCAAAAGAATACAACTTTCGTAAAGAACGAATTATATCCTTTTTGGAGCACTATCTAGATAGTCTGTATTAGAAAAGTTGGTAATAGATTATTTTACTTTTGTTACATTCTTTAACAAACAAGACATCATTAATTTTATGTTGCTTATTCTTTGTAGTGAAGTTGAAATTAATGACTTCGCTTCTTAGACATGTTATTGGTTGTATTATTGATTTTTTTATGGATACACATAAATGGGTTACAAATTGACCTAATTTGGTTAAAAGTTTTTCGAGGAATCTTTAGGTCGACCTCGATAATAGACAATAACTGAACTACGCTTTTCAGAACGGTGGTTGTTTTCAGGCGCAAATTTTTCTCTATTTGAAATTGAATTGCCTGTATTTTATCTTTCTGTGCCAAGTATGTGGCCTCTTAAGAAAGTTACAATATTAAATAGTTTAAATTTCAATTCTGCTATAAATATCGTGATATTATTACTTCTTTCTATCCCTACATGAATGATTATATGATTATTTTTATTTAATTTATTTTATTATTAAATGAGCAAAAATTTAAATTGGCATTATAAATATTACGTTTTTAAGAAGACTACTTTGGTGAATACAAAAGTATCATAAAAATTGTTAATCTGATTAATGATAAAATTAATGTTTAACTTTTCTACCTACGTAATAGATTTCCTTGTTTTTATTACGTAAGCAAAATATGAATGGATGTGAGCCATACCTTATAAGGTTACCTATAAAATCATTATGCTGATTGAGAAGACGGCCTTTAGAATATTGTACATGTACCCGACACCTTTAGCATTTTTCGTTTTGTATGTGTCCGTCGTTTTTCTGTCGCATTTTTTGTCCAATCGAAATTATGGTAACAATAAAAAAATAGTCAAGTTTGTTCTAGAGAAGAATTATGTTTTGTTGAGGCAGGTGTACTTCAATACTTATATTAACATTTTTTTTTATTTTTAAATAAGTAATTAAATATTAAAGACTTATTGAGATTACATACATATATATGGCAAAATAAATCTCAATGTGTCTCTCTATTCATTACCAAAGCTTAAAATCAAACTGTTTTAATTTGTAGTATTAAACATTATATTTCTATAAAATTTGCTTCCTATTTTTCAAAATATTAAAGTTTATTTTCATTATGGTAATAATCTTTTTTATTCTTCGCCAAAAACAAAAAGTTAATTTAATTGTAAAAAAGATGTTTGAAACTATTTGAAACGTTTTTCTATGTTAATGTTTTATTAATTATTTGCAGTATAAACAAAATAAATAGCCTAGCAGATTTCCAATGCTGTTTGGCTTTGCAAGAATTGTATATTCGTCAAAACGATATTAGAGATCTTAATCAAATATGTTATCTCCAAGGATTAGCAAATCTGCGAAATTTATGGCTTGCGGAAAATCCATGTTCTTTTATTGATGGGTGAGTTGATTTGCATGTTGATCTTTTTCTAATTTTATTGATTATACCTATTTATGATAAACATTTCTATCTGATGTATCTATTGAAAATTATCTTTTCCTGATTCTTTATTTTCTAAAATTTAATCACAATATAAGAATCACTGTTTTATCTGTACAATCCAGAGCTGAAGAACTTCAGAGTAGGTAAGATAATAATATAGCATTGATAGAATGTAAATCACATCCATTGGAGAATATTTAAAAAAATAAAAGATTAACGAGTAAATTTTTATTGCTTTCTTCAACATTGTTTCAATACTTTCAGGTCATTCCAAAAGAAAAGTTCTGTAATGAGCCTTACCTGAAAGGGTTGAAATAGTATTGTAGAGGGTAATAAATATTCAGTGAAATTTCTCACAGTGCGATATTTACAGAAGAGACGCTGGTAAAACAATTAAAAATATACTACGTATTATAGTTTCTGATATATTTATTAAAGTAAAGTACATACTAGCAAGTAAGATTTACATGCTTATCGAATTCTAATTACTTCAGCTATCGTCTGACAGTTATACGCGCTCTACCTCAGCTACAAAAATTAGACAACATTGCGATAACACAGGAAGAAGTAAGAGACGCTGCTAGGAAGGGACGCATCCTTACACACCCTGAAGATCCTCATGAAAGTGAAGAAGAAGTTGAAGAGGAAGAATATGTACCTGACAGGCAACAGTACAGTAGGTATCCTACAGAACAATATCAAGAACAACAGTACAGTCCACAAAGAAGTCCATCTCGACAAGAGGTATGTGTAGCTTATCAATTTTAAACCATTTAAATTTATTTATTGTATTGATCTTTAGTCGTATATATTAAAGAACATTTCATTATTTACTGACCATAATTCTTAATATATGAATATAATTCATTGCACTAATATTACTTCTGCGTGATTGTATTTATTAATAACTATTAAACAAATATCATTTAATTAACCACCTTTAATTAAACTTTAACTAGACAGAATATGACAATGGTGACATTGACGGTTACTATATAAAAGAGGAGTCTCTTGAAGATGGGAAAGAGTACATTACTACTACAATTCAGGTAGGATGTTTTTAACAATTCATTTCATTTTACCGAGTAATATATGTATGATTAATGCGCATACTTAATTTTATTAACTTTGTGTTAAATTTAAAAAAATAAAAAGGATAATCCACAATTCATTATTTCAAGATCATGAAAAACGTACATATCACTATATGTTGTTAATATTTTAAAAACTTTTATCATTTCCAACATTATGAATTATATCTTATCTTTTTTTAGCAAAATTCATCAAGAAGACAAGAGCAAATAAGAAGAAGTTATTCTCCAACTGAATATGATGAGCGGAAGGGTTCTCAATATTATGAACAAACTAAACAAACTCAATTCTATGAGGTAATTGTAAAGCTTTTTTTCAAGTATTGATATTTAAAGAAATCTTATGCTAACGAACATGCTTTCTTTTCTGGGAATCATTTATCATATTAACAATAATTTTTATCGTTAATAAAAAATATCTTCTGTCAATAACACACAAATAGATTTCCAGTACCAAATAAAAGTAAGATTGTCAATCTTTATTATCAGTTACATTTATCGTTGTATGTATATTCTATTAAGGTTTGGTGAAAAAATACAAATATTTATTAAAAAATTTAAATAGGAAGGACAATATTTAAAATAATGATACTTCTAGTTTATTTGTTTACTTTTTTCCCGCATTTCATTTATTCATCTGTGACTCATTTTTATTAATAGAAAACTTCATTGAATACTAACAGTTTAGAGGAAGGAGCAGGAGATAATTTAAAGGACCTCAAATTAGTCACAAGCCAATCCTCTAACAGCATAAAGGTTTGTTAATTTCTTTTTATTACTAATAACAAGGCCGCTGTTCTTAACAATTTTCCTTTTAAATGTAATAATAAGTCTTGAACTCAAAACTCGTGGACGTATCCAGACTTGTGGCTTGGGATGGAGTAAAAAAGTACAAATACAAATGCAAATGGACATTTAAAACTAACTTCTAGAAAAATATGTTCATTATTTTCTGCATAAATAAGAGTGGTATATTAGAAACTGATCAAGACTAGAAAGAAAGCAATTAGCTGATTGACCTCCCGTTCTTTGAATGGGTTCAAATTAAAAATTAAAATAATTTATCTGTACTTATAAAACTACAGTTTTCGTCATATTTGTATAATAGCTTCCGATTAGATTAACTACTAAAGAAAATTTCATCTGACAGGATTACACTAATGGAGAAAGGTATCCTCAATCAAACCCAGCTGCATACAGGCAAACGGAAGGCAGTGAAATTTCATCGCATAGTCACGAAGTTCCTACAAGACGTGAAAGATTTACGTGTCCAGCCGCTCACCAGCCACCTTTTAATAGAAGACCAGTAACAAGGGTATATATATATTTATTCTGGGTTTTAGGAGTTTACTTAGATTTGATTAAAATATTTTAAAAGTCAATGGTACGAAGTATTAAATAAATAAATTTAATTTTAAATAAAGTTAATTATCAAAAATATGAACTTCATGAAAAAGAGAAACATTATAAATAATATCATCAAAACCAGTGGTAGGTTACCTACTATACTGAATTTATCACGTGGTTTTAGAACTCCAACATACTGTCAGCAGTTTTGTGTTTGGTTAAAGAACTAGATTACCCAAGTTTAGAAGTTGTTGAAATGGCAGTCAGATGTCGAATGGATGAATTCGAAGAATGACATAAGGAAAATCGTTCGTCTGACTCTGATCCTGAAAATGAGCTTCCTCTAACATAAAGGGAAGCTACGGCTAGAACTTTCCAACCGATAATAGCTTAACAGGATTTAAAGACTAAACATACTGACATTTTCGACAGAACATCCAAATAATTTTTTACTGGTGCTGTATATGATTTATTATTAATACAATAACTGAAGATTACTAAACGTAAAACGAATACTGAACAAATAACGATACAAATGTTAAAAAGATCGCGATCTTAATTAATATACTTAATCGAACATGATAAATCCAGACAGTTAGGAAATATATAGGGCCAGTAAATTGATTTGATTTACTTAATATACTCGTTTGTGATATACAAGTAAAAATGTTGATAGATTAAAATTATAGTGAAAAGTCACTCTTCACTTTTCTCGAAATTTATATAATTCAAGTTATATTTTAGATCCCATTTAATTGTATACAAAGAATCTTTAAATTATACTTAAAATTAAACTACTAAAATTGATAGGAAATACCAACTTGGATTTGAGTAAAATTTTCATGAAAAAATGAGTGATTAAAAAGTTATTATTAATTGAAAATTATCCTTTTTTAAGTTATAGAAAGAAATACTTTTGAAATCGTAGATAATAAATCAGTTTGATATTAACTGCTGCTAAAGCAGTATTAGCGATTCAAAGTATGAAAATGCATTTTATCAAAATTATATATTCTAATAAAATAATTAATAGCTTTTACTGTATCATATATATGCGATAATAAGCTGCCTACGTAATTATTTTGAAAGCATTTTCACGTCTGCATAAAGGTAATTATTTAATACTTGTGATATGAAGCGTATTAAGGAATGCTATTTTTAATCTTCCTTTTTAGCACAAATTCATTCTTAATTGAATTAGAAAATTGTTTTATATTGTAAATTTGTGCTTTAGAAATCGTATCAGTTTTCGCGTTCATTTGCATCTTACAATTAGTACTTAAATGCATATTTACGTGCACATTTTACTTAAAAGGCTTACTTTTATACAGTTTTAAGAATTTTTAAATGTAGCTGTGGAGTGTTTTAATTTTTTTGGATATTTTTATTTTGTATTTTATGTTCAATTTTTTTTTTCAAAATGTCTAGAATGCAATGCTTCCAGTTATCGGAGAAATTGCTTCATAAGATATCAACACAAGAGTTAGAGTTGTAGCACAATATGGTGCTTTGGCTAGACACAGTATAATAATGTTGAATATTGCCGTACTATTTTATTCTTATTGTAATTTTACGTTTTGTTAAAACTTTGTTGCCTTGAATCGTAATGATGATACTTGTTGTTTACTTCGTATAAAAACAAATATTCACAAAATTGTATTCCTTGGTCCCTTTCAGTTATAATTGATATTTTACCATTTGCAGTTTATGATTGAAAAAATACTTTTTATGAGAAGAATATATACAAGTTTTCTGTTCTGTTTTAAGTAAACGAATATTTGAAATATGAACATGGCAATGCAGATATGCAAATTTTATTTGAAACCAGAAATTTGAAGACATTCCTTAAGATATCGTTTTTAACTTGTACTTGTTGAGTTTATGTAAGATGGAATGGAAATACTAAAAAGAAATAAATTATTTCTACTTACCAAACTATTTGATAATTGTTATTTATTTAATACGGTTTATTAATATCATTAATAATTAAAATGGTTTTTAAATTAAAGTGAATAAATTGAAAATTTATACAGGAACTTAATAGCAATGCAGACGAAATAGACGAGCATTTCGCGGTTGTTGTGCATATGTTATGGTTAATATACTTCTTTGGCTAGTTTGTAAACAGGCTACATACCGGTTAGTATACCTATTGTTCAAATGTCTGGTTTGGTGAATATCCTTCGTAAGTGTTGGCTTCTCCTACCGTTGTGCTAAGTATATTCGCCAAACGAAACCTTTATACAGTTTGCGTACTATTCAGCTAGTGTACAAACTAGCCAAGTAAGCATATTAACCCTAGCATATAAGTGGACGTGGGTGGTATCAAATCACTATGTAATCATAGTAGTTTTAGATAAAACAAATTAGGCGTTTATGTCATTTCGGACAAATGTTCTCAAATAAGATAAAATTTATTTGTATATTTTTCATTTTTTTATGCGATAATTTTTGACTGTGATTAAGGGTGTTCACTTTAGTAAAAGTGTAAATATGTCAACTCTTGTTAAAAAAACTTATCAGCCTTTTGTAGGTATTCCAAAGGCTACAGGTCTTCAAGAACACTTTGATTCTGTCCAAACTCACGCTGTGATTGAACAAACAAACGAAAGAAGCAATGGACTTCAAAATATAAACAGTATTGAAGATCCACCTTGGTATCGGCTTCCATGTCAAGAATTTCGAAAAGGAAGGCGGGGAAAAAATTTCAACTACACCCAAGATGCAAAACCTCTCACAAACCAAACTAAACCAACTGTTCAAACTGCAAAGCAGAAATACAATGGCCTGCAAGATTTTGATGATATTTTTCCCAAAAATATTCATCCACCAAATAAAAATAAAAACACGGTAACCTGTTTAGATAGCGATATTGCTAAAACAACAGAAACAACTGAAGCAAAAATTGAGCACCAAGAGAAACCCCAAAACCTTTTCCAGCGCAACAATAAATTTGATTCACGAAAGCAAATTTACCGTCAAACTTTGAATGGTGTTCCTGTATCTTCTTCACGTTTACAAATTACCAAATCGCAAACAGCAGCTTCGCCTGAATGTTCACAACAAGAAAAAAGAATTGAAACTTCTGATTCTTGCAAAAGCGAAGTACCTCTAAGTGAATCACAAACATCAGTTTTATCAAAATGTCCACACGAGAAGAATGTTGAAACTTCCGAAAACGAAACACTTCCAGATAAATTGTCTAATGAAGAAAACTTAAAAATTTCGCCCAGTAGCCCAAAGGATCAGGAAAAGAAAAATATTGTTACAGAATCTTCAAAGAATCAGGAAAAGAAAAATACTGTTACAAAATCTTTAAAGGATCAGGAAAAGAAAAATACTTCTATAAAATCTTTAAAGGTTCAGGAAAATAAAAATACTGTTAAAAAGTCTTTAAAGGATCAGGAAAAGAAAAATACTGGTAAAAAGGAGAAAGGGTCTAATACAGAAGTAACAGAGGAAGAAAAAAGTTCATGACATTCACAATTACAATAATTTAAGTTTTAACTCTTTGAAAAATTAACTTCTTTGTAATTATTATAGTTTTTACTATTCTTTTACTGTATTCATAAAATTTTTATTAAAATGCCATGTATTCAAGTTAAATAACGGTGTTATTGTTCATCTCGACTCAAATTATTTTAGATAGTAAATGTTTATATATTTGTTATTCTCAAGAAACGGCTTATATTTACAAACTTTCTCTGATAAGCAATCGAGATTATCTAATTCCCACATAAACATTGTTTGTAATTAGAATAACTAGTAGTTAGTTAACAGACAATTAGAAAATTTACAGTTTCTAAAAAATGAGAGCAAGGCAGTTTATCCCAGCAAAAAGAGTTAAATTATTATTTATACCTTCAATTTTTTACAATTCAAGCAGACGTATAAACAACAGCTCTAATGTTCTTACAACTAAATGTGATCGTTCCTCCAAAACATTTAAGGTAAATTAAAACAAACTCATATTAGTTTAATATCAAATTTTGAATAAAATAGATATTGCGTTTTAATAAAGAAAAACAGCGTTTGTATTTACAATACGTAATTTATCTCTTAAATAATCGATTTTTAAAAAAAAAATTTAACATTTTGGCATCTAGATATAATATATGATTCTACTAAATGTGTATACAGTATATTAGATATATATAAAGCTTCTAAAGATGCATTCGTATAATTAGTTCTAATAAATAAATGTGAAACTACTCAACAGTATTTTTTCTTTTAATTAATAAATTTTAGCAAAACCAAAGCCGAATGTTGGACCTTGTGACTCACTTAAAAGACGATACTTGCAGAATATTAAGTGGAGGTGGCGGAAAATCTGTAGAAAGACATACATCTAAAGGAAAACTGCTTGCTAGAGATCGTATTAATTTATTGCTAGACAAAAACAGCGCCTTTTTAGAATTATCAACATTCGCTGGCTATGAAATGTACGGCAAAGATGAAGTGAATGCGGGTGGTATTATAACTGGAATTGGAAAAATCTGTGGGTAAATATGAAGTATCACTAAATACTAAATTATCTGTTAAAAAATTAACAAGTTTGAGTAATAATGGTCTTATAAAAATAAATCAAATTATGGAGTAACTTTTTGTAGTATCCTATTTTTTTTTTCAACATTGTTTTTGTTACGTTTTGTGTATATATCCATAAATGAACTAAAATTACAGGAAAGATTGTATGATTGTGGCTAATGATGCCACTGTGAAGGGTGGAACATATTATCCAATAACAGTTAAAAAACACATTAGAGCCCAAGAAATTGCTCAACAAAATAACCTACCGTGCTTATATCTGGTTGATAGTGGAGGAGGAAACTTGCCACATCAAGCAGATATATTTCCTGACAGAGATCACTTTGGAAGAATATTCTTTAATCAAGCAAATATGTCTTCTTTGGGAATACCACAGGCAAGTAACTATTTTAGATTAATACAGTCTTATTTAGCTAATATTAACTTGAAAAAGTTTGATAAATTATGATCAGAATATTTTATTATTTTACCACTTTTAGATACTATAAACTATAACAATTAAGAAAATCCATTGAATTTTTAGATTGCTGTAGTCCTGGGTTCATGTACAGCTGGTGGAGCTTACGTTCCTGCAATGGCAGATGAGTCAATAATTGTAAAACAACAAGGAACTATATTTTTAGCTGGGCCACCTCTTGTTAAAGCAGCAACTGGTGAAGAGGTATAATTTAAAAATGCATTAGTTAATAATGAAATAAAAAAACATTACATTTCAAATGTGAAATTTAATTACAACAAATTACTAAATTTTCAATTATTATCAGATAACTGCAGAAGAACTTGGTGGAGCAGATGTTCATTGTACAATATCTGGTGTTACAGACCATTACGCGTTCAATGAAGCACATGCGTTGCATATAGCTCGAGGGATAATTAAAAAATTGAATATCAATACTCAGTCAACTTTTTCTGAACCTTTTGAAGAACCGCATTATGATATTGAAGATCTCTATGGCATTTCGGATCCCGATTTAAAAAAATCCTTTGACATTAGAGAGGTAATTGCTAGAGTCTTTGACGGTTCCAAATTTGATGAATTCAAAAAGAAATTTGGAGAAACACTAGTCTGCGGATTATCTAAATTATACGGAAAAGTTGTGGGTGTTATTGGCAATAATGGAGTCTTGTTTTCTGAAGGCGCAATCAAAGGTGCTCATTTTGTTCAGCTGTGTTGTCAACGCAATATTCCGATAATCTTTCTTCAAAATATTACAGGTTTTCAAATAACTCATTTGTTTGATACTATTTTTTCTGTTTTTACCGTTTTGATTGTAGGGTTTATGGTTGGTAAAGATGCAGAAGCAAGTGGTATTGCAAAACACGGAGCAAAGCTAGTTACAGCAGTTGCTTGTGCTGCAGTCCCCAAACTAACAGTTATTATTGGTGGTTCCTTTGGGGCTGGAAATTATGGTTCAAATTATTTTATTAACATAATAAATAAATATCTATTTCCTTATTTCGATATGTTTGCAGGGATGTGTGGAAGGCCTTATTCACCAAGGTTTTTGTACATGTGGCCAAATGCAAAAATATCAATTATGGGAGGAGCTCAAGCTGCAGATGTTTTATCACAGGTCTCAAGCAGAAACAAAAAGACAGCAAAGGAACAAGAACTGTTTAAGAATGAAATAATACAAAAGTTTGAAAGAGAAGGTTCACCATATTTTAGTAGTGCAAGGTAACTACAGCTGAATGGACAATGTTTTTTTTAAATGACCCACATTAAAACTTCTTGTTATTTTAGACTGTGGGATGATGGAGTCATTGATCCAAAAGATACAAGAAAAATTTTAGGGCTGAGTCTTGCAATTACTTTTAATAAAAATATAGAGAAGAGTCAATTTGGAGTGTTCAGAATGTAAAAATTAAAACTTCTTGAAAAACAAAAATAATTTTTAATAAACATACTTTTATTTTATTTTACATATTTGTTGTGTCTCTTTTTTCAATGAACCTAAGTTGTTTACGTTTCATTCGCTTTATTTTAGCAGGATTTTTAATGATTTGAACAACTTCTGATTTCTTTCTGTTTTCTTCTTGTCTTTTAAGGTTTTCCCTTCTTCTTTCTTTTTTCAGCTGTTTTTCTTCCTGTTTAGCAGCTAAAATAGCCCTAGATGCTTCTTTCACTCTTTTAAGTTCTTCTCTCAATAGCTGTTTTTTTTCAAAGGAACTTTTTAAACCTTTTGTCTTAATTATTGATGAAAACTTTTTTTTTTCAGTTTTCCAAATCCGTCCTGATTTAGGTTTTCCTTTCGGTATATTTTGTTTTATTGCTTTCCTAGAATAAAATAATTATTTGAATTGATTTTAAACCATTTAAAGACCCTATTAATAATGAAAAAGGCATGTTTCTTAACATTACAAAAACAATAGTCTTAAAATAGTTAATAAAAATGTATAACTTATTACTTTGACTTCTGTTTGACAAGGTTTTTTGTGTTCTTGTCTGGACAATTGTTAAATTCTACTTCCATCGTTAAATAACTAAATTTAAAAGTAAATTGAGTTAATTTTGCACTTTAGTCTACAACATTTGAGGTTAGTTTTAGCAATCGATGCAGTTCGCGATTAACAATCATTGGAGACTTCAAGCATAGAGGGCACTAGGCTGTGCTTATTAGACTTAAATATGAAAAATCAGGTGTACATTGAAAACAAAAATTTTTAAAATAACAAAGGTTCTTCCAGTTATAATCCTACGTTTGAAATAATTCAATTGATTTAATTTGTAAAGATGTTTGTAAAAAAATTGATTCCTAATTCTGGTTTACTGAAACACGTTTGTAAAATAAGGCAAACATTTCTTCGAAATGATTCAGACCACGGTTTCCGTACGCCCCATGATGTGAGTACTGTTTTTTTTTTTACATACCAAACAATAAATTTTTAAATAATCTTTACTTAACTTTGTTTTTAGTAAAAAACTAAATTGTTATTTTTAGGCATTACCTTTTAAACTTGGACAACCCATTCCAATGGCCATAAAGTGGGTCCTGTTCTTGGGTTCAGGTTTATGGGCTCCTTATTTAGTAGTTGCCTACCAGTTACAATAAAAAATATAGAAGAATTGATTCATAAAAAACATTTAAAAGTAATACAGGTAATTATCTTTGAAGAAAATTAAATTTAAAGATTTGTTACCAGAATCGTACCACTACATTAGTATTATTTGTAACTAGAAATTCACCATCAGTTTTTGTGATAGGTTATTTTGGTTGCTTATGTAACATTAGAAATCTTAACTGTATTCCAAATTATACGTTATTATTTAAAATTAAAGTCGACTAATAAATTAATAACATGTTGCTGAACAGAAGTTCATTATTTGCAAGAAACATTATAACCAATTATGTTAGAAATCATCATGGAGGTACACCTGGTGAGGTAAGAATAATTACCACAGCACCTACATTAAGAAGGGTACGAAAATCATATTTGTTTTATGTAAATTTTGTTTACAGAATTTACCATTTCAACTTGGAAACCCTTACCGACTAACTGCATGGTTTATTGTGTTTTTCGGATCAGGGCTTGCAGCACCTTACTTTGTTGTTAGATATCAACTTACCAAAAATTAATTGTTTTTTATAATGTGCTGTAGTGTGTTACGATGTATACCTTAGTGTTAATTGTCTAAATACATATAACAAAAATATTGTCAATATGTGTACCTATGTATGACCTTGTCTGAAATGTACTTGTTATGTGGAAACTTCAAGAAAACATTAATTGATGTTTTTCAGGCCGAAGAAAATGACTATTGCATTATAAACATGTATTTTATTTCTCAAAGGCAGTAATAGACAAGTAGTGAAATGAAATTTATCTATTTTAGAGAAGGACTAAATGGAACTAAATAATAAACACCCCACATGAGAAAATTGTTATAGCATAAAGCCTATCCTTTTTCTGCATTATTAATCTAGAAATAATGTCGGGTTAAATAGATTAAAATTATAACTCTCCATAAATGATGATACTCATCTATTGATTAGCATCAATTTTATATTAAGTGCAGCATTACTATGAAAGTAATTATACAAATGGGAGTACTCGTATTTTATATTTAGCAAGATCCTCTAAATGTTACAAAGGAAATTATCTAGCACAGATATTTATCTATTGGATAAAATATGGTTGAAATCGATCATATACGATGTATATTGATGAGTAGATTTCTTCATAATTTAAGGACTTGTTAAACGTTAAGTAATACGAGTTAGCGATAATACCTATAGATGACGATATCTGCCCTATCGTGATATTAATTGTGTAAATTTATTGCAGTAATTTACTGTAGCAACAGTAGCGCACTAATCGAAGTTTTAGTAATACAAGGAGATGTCGCACAATAGCCGAAAAATTAAAATTTTTGATTTTGAACTAGTTGAAAATATCTTTCAGTATTTCATATTATGCGATGATTATGCTATTACTTATGAATATATGAAATAAAAGCTACCTTATACTACAGTAATTAACTGAAGCTCTGCACTTTTCCTGTTTTTGATATTTGTTTGAAAAAAATCATTTGAATTAAAACTGCGCTCTATTATCTGTTTATCGGAAAGAACATTGAATTTGTCATTTATTAATTTTAAATTACATTTTATTAGTATGTAAGGGGAAAAATAACTCTAATTTTAAATTATCCTTTTGTTCATTTTGAGAATATATTTTTGCCGCTTTTGAAATTTTTGAAAGTTTTATGTAGGCAACCAACATTTAAAACAATTATGCTTATCTATTTTTATGTCTCCGCATATTCCAAGTTCGTAATTGAGCCTTCCTAGTCACTAAACAAAATTTTAATTGAGTAATGAGGCGTATTTATGTTTTCCTGTTGTAATTTAAACATTTTAAAGTGACATCGTTTTATTTCAATCGTGACAGAAATGGCTAGCCAGTCAATGGGCATTCAGCAGCTTTTGGCTGCTGAAAAAAAAGCAGCTGAAAAAGTTGCAGAAGCTAGAAAACGTAAGTGAATGTGGTTAATTAAATTCAGATATTTTAGAGCAGTCTAAATTGGCTACATAATTATTATTTGAATATTTTACTTTTGGTATAGATTTTTTCTCAAAAGCGCTATCGTTGCAATCAAAAGCATGTTAAACGTTTCCTAAAAATAACTAACGAAATGTATGTATTCTATATACGCTGGTATATAAAAACACACTTTGAGAAAAATAAACTTGCATTATGTACTCGTTATCCCTGGGAAATTGGCCAAATGTTACGATAGTTAATGTCAAAATTAAACTCATTCGTGTTATTGCTCTTGTTTCTTTGACGGTACACATTCCGCATAAATTAAGGCGAAACTAAATGCGAATACATAAATCCCTCTTAGTTTTTCGAAAGTTATTATATAATGTCTTTTAAAAGTTTGTCGTTATTTTTAATAAACGTGACTGAAGGAAACTAAAATTTTAATGAAGATTCAGTTTAATGAGTCAGGTGTTTTTTCATATACGTAACGTAGTTAAAAATTACGATTTAATATCAGAAATTTCATTAAATTTTTGGAAAAACAGTAAATACAAAAAATTATTTTGACGTCTACAATTTCGGTAGATGTTGCGTTGCAAAAGTTTAAACTTAACAAATTCCAAACAATTTGAGCATTCTTCGTTTACATACTCCTACACTAAAAATATATTTTTGTAGGCAAAGTTAAACGGATAAAACAAGCTAGAGATGAAGCTCTAGCAGATATTGAAAAGTATAGACAAGAACGAGAGAGGCAGTTTAAAGAATTTGAAACAAAACATCTAGGTTCAAAAGAGGACGTCGCAGCAAAAATCAATGTTAACACAGAAAAGTTGTTGGCTAAGATTTCTGAGGATGTTCATAATAAAAGGGAAAATGTAAGATTACATTTGTTAGCGACAATTGAACTACAAAAGATTTATAAAGTTCAGATCACGATAAAACGTATACATTTATCAGGGACGTAAATACAGAGTGAGGGTAGTTCGCAAACTGAATTTTATTTATTTTAATTACATTAATACTAATTGTAACTATATACTGAAACTAGTTGCTTTAAAAGTATTAGATCAAATAATTTCTTTGTTATTAGCACTAAATAGTTGTCTTTTTTTAAGCTATTTAGTTTTGAAAAGAAGGGTTTGTATGATATGTTGTTGTATGCAATATCAATTAATTTGTGCCTTCAATTTCAGGTAATTAAAGAATTGCTGGATTTAGTTTTTGATTTAAAAGCAGAAGTTCATCCCAATTATTTCGTTATGAATCCAAGAAGTGATTGATTTAGTAAATTGATAACTTATAATTGTTATTTAATAAATGACTAGATGTTATCAAAACACATTCAATCGCTGATGAATTATGACATAAAAATAGTATTTATTTTTCCTTCCTATGCGTTTATCACGAGGGTAAAATCTATCTTCTTACGAGAACTGATAAAAGCATCCTCTAATATATCAGCTGTGGTATCAGCGACTACCTTATCTATTGTAGCAAACAACTGGTTTTCTGTTAAGGAATAGAGGCCTAACAAGCTCTTCCAATAGAAAGGTAATAAAAGAATTTTACACTTAGTTAAAACAGATATTAAAAAATAATTTGAAATCAAAAAGTTGATAAAAGTTAAGTTTCGGGTGAAAAAAGTCGAAATACACAGACTGAATTCTATTTAGGTCAAACAGGAAAATTTTTTAATCATACCTACAAAAACTGTAGAAATTATCTATTAAATGACTCAGTGGAAATGTACCACAAAAAAATATTGAATAAGTTGTATTTCCACATTAAATACCTGTGTACTACACGCTCATTCTGTATTTTAAATTATTTTTTTGACATTATATTTGAAAAAAAGAATTTGGTGGCATATTTTATTTTTTAATCATTTTCAGAGCATGTTTTGGCTCATTTTAATGTTATAGAACATAATTTCTCTATTAAATTTGAATTAAATTAAACCAAAAGCTTTTTAAATAAACATTTTAATGCGTGTGGTTAAATCTAATTCAATTACAGAATGTTTGATATACATAGAAATATCGCAAAGTATATTAGATAATTCCTTTATTATCTCTAATGCTGCCTCATCTTTTTAATTTCACTTGCTGTCTCGCTTTTGTAGGCAAATACTTTTTAGTTTTAATCATGCTTCCATACTACATTTATACGTCATAGCCACTTTCGGACTTTAAGATTCATCATAAATAATTGGTAATTTTAATTATTTTATATTTGTTGATCGAGAAAACTTGTACAGGATAGAAAAGAAACTGCGTGCTCATTTTTGCATTAACCATTATAAAGTATTTGTCATATACAGGTTAAAAACTTCATTATACCCAAGTTCTACTCGCAAAATTAAAATATTATTAATAAAACTTAAACTGATCTTGGTACAACTTTTGTGAAACTAAACTGCATGATTTCAAACATTCAAAAATTTATTGAGTCGATTAAAATATATTAGTGAAATTTTCCAGTTTGTTTTATTTTTGAATGTTTAAAATAAAACCTTGTTCTAATTCTAAAAACAGTTTTAAGTACTTTCCGCCCTTAAAAATGTTAAAATTACTTATTAACGATAAAAAATCTTTCTTTAGAAGACAATGTATATAAATTAGTAATTTTGAACCGCCTTTTTGAAAATACAATTTTTAAATAAGATATCCTCTGTACATTGCAGTACATTGCGGTACAGTGGGTTGTCTAGATATTAGTTACATAAAATGTGGTACATAAAAAATAGAACACAATGATTATGATTTCTTTACATTACATATTAAGTTGTGGTTAACGTGTTTCGTGACACATTTATTATTTGTTATCATTTTGTTCCAGTTTTCCATAAGAATATCAGGAACACGCTAGGTCGATGGTCGATGTCGTAGACAGCCGATGTCAATCGATTCATCGCGACTCGTTTTAATCTATGATATTTATTATCTATGGATATGATCTATGATTTTTAAGATAGCTTCTGATGGAAAATGGTTCTGGTTCTTCTGTTCGTGTTTAGGTAAATTGTGAAAATTACGTTTTCTACGTAATTATTAATTTTTCAAGTTCGTAGTTTTTATAAATAAAGTGTTTCTTGGAAGGTTTTTCAACAAATAGAAGCGCAAGGTAGGAAACATTAGATTTTCTACACTCGTTATTTCTTTGTATTCGATAAGCACTGCTTAGTCATACTTACTTACCTGTATTCTTAGATAGCTTTTTTGTTTAACGTTTCAACACATTTCATAAGTTGCTTTTGATCTGTAAAATACACATATGTATGGCATATCAGAAACTTGTTTTCATCAAAATGGTTATTAGTTTATTTGAATTTTTCAACCGTTTGGTATGATTTCTACAAATCAAAAGGCAAGGTAGAAAACATTTGATTCCATACACTTTTGTGGATACTTAGAATCACATTAGCCTCCTTGACATCTTTCCATTAGTCTATTTACTTTAAACCCTTCTCTGTTATTTAACTATTTTGAAACAATATTTCCTTTAGAATATTTAAGACCTCATTTGTTAATCTAGTCACCAGAGAGGGACCAAAGCAATCAACCACATTCTGGAAAGTCCTCCCGGGATCTAAATGATGACATTTCAAGAAAAGGTAGGCCTCTGTTTATGTGTATTTACTGTGATATTGTATTTATTTTTAACAGCGTTCTATTCTGTAACTCTTTATATATTTAAGTTAGATTCAGATCTTCTTTTAATTAGTAGGTCAGGTCAGTGATGGACATCAAACCCAACTACAAGTGGAATCATCCTGGCAATCAGAGAACATGAGGACTTCCAGGACATCAAAGGACGAGACTAGCGAAATCCGTTATACTAATATCGTCCCACTCAAGGCAAGAGGCACATCAAGGAAATGTAACGTTTTTTTAATATAGTTATTGTAACATATAGAACTTGCCTTTCTTTTTCTATATTTTCAAGGATTTTTTGTTTGTTTACCTTGCTTATCATTTAACTTTAACATTTTCTTAGAATTTTTAGCATTTTTCTGTTTAATTTCTTTTAATCTACTTTAACTAAATACTTTCCTTTCTTCTGATTTACATTAACTTCATTCAGATCTACACTTTTTAGTGGTTTTTCTTTAAAATTTTCATTCGTTTAATTTACTATATCTCCATTTCTATTTACTTACACGTAATCTTTAAATACAGTAATGTATTACAAATCTTTTTCTTTTACTGTAAGAGTTAATTGCTGTTCTAAACTAAGCAGTAACTTTAATTCAGATCTTTTCTTTTTTATTTAGTAGGACCAGTCCATGAAGCCAGCAACAAATTAGGACATAAAGGGACCAGAGTAGCGAAATCCATTCCAATAAAGTCGACCCGGTCAAAGTGGCACATCAGGTAAATGTAACATTTATTTAATATATCTATTATATTTTCCCCAAATTGCCTTCCAGAAGTTGTCTTTCTTTTTCTATATTTTGAAAGCTTATTTTTTATTCTTTACTTACCTTATCTATTTTTTCATTTACCTTCTACTGTCTAATATTACTTATTTTATTTCATTTACTTTGTATTTACTCAAAACTGTTCTTTCTTTTGATTTACTTTACTTCACTTATTAATTGTTTTTATTAAAACTTTTATGTATAAAAAGGAATCTAATTTTGTTGGTTGTTGTATAATAATATATAGTTTTCAAGACTAATTTTGCCAATAACTAAACTAAGCAGTAATTTAATTCAGTTTTTTTTTCTTATTTATTTAGTAGGACCAGTCATCAATATTGAAGCCAACAAGTGGAATCATGATCAGTGCAGAACATCAAGTCCACTAGGGCATTAAGGGACCAGACCATTGAAATCGATTCTACTAATATGGACCCACTCAAGGCAAAAGGCACACCAAGAAAATGTAATATTTCTTTATTTATTACATTTCTCAGAAATCTTTGTTTACTATTATATTCGGAACTTATCTTTCTTTTTCTACATTTCCAAAGACTATTTTTGTATTCTTCACTTATTTATTTTTTTCACTTACCTTTTACTTTTTCTTATAACTTCTACTTTCCAACAGTATAGGCTTTATTTCTTTTAATTTGTATTTGTTTATTTGACAATTTGCATTACCTTAAAACTTTTTTCTTTTATCATCTTCATCTTTTAGTTGTTTTTCGTAAAACCCGTTTTTTCCTATTTATTTTCTTTTTATTTATATTTAGACTATTTAAAAATAATAAATCTCTTTTTCATTTTAACTTTATTTTAACCATTTCATTTACATAAGACTTTATTCTTATACTAATTCTGTCTGTCTCTTTTCCTTCTTTTTTAGGTAGCAGGACCAATGATGGACATCGTAGTCAACAACAGGTGGTATCAACTGGGGCAACTCAATCGATTTAGAACACCAGGACAAGGAAGGAACCACACCAGCGGACCCAAGGATCCGAAGACTTCGGGGCCCCAAAGCTCCGGGGTTGGAAGGCATCGGATTCCAGGATCTCCAGGTACGAGAACTTCGAACTTCGAAGATTTCGAACTTCGAAGATCGCGGGGTGCGATGACCTCGGAATTGGTAAGTCTGCGAGGTTCAAAGACTTCGAGGTAGAAGTCGGGGTCCCCAGGGTTCGAAAATCTAGCAGTTGGAAAACGCCAAAGATTCTTTGGCATTTTCCAGCTTCGAAATTATCGGATTCAGGGAACTCGACATTTCTATCTTGATTCTTTGGACTTCACAGTCTATCCAATTTCGAAATCATTGCATCTTGGGATTTTTAAACTTCGAAATCTTTGAAATTCGACGTTTCGCACCAGGAATCCTGAAATTCGAAATCTTTTAACCCCGGAGCGTTAGGGCAAGGCCCGTAAGGCGGGCCGGCCACGGGGGAGGGCACCCGGGGATCGCCCCGGGTGCAGGACGCGGGGAGGGGCGTCAGGGCCCCTAACGGGGCCCGGGGACGGGAGATGGCACCCGGGGATCACCCCGGGTGCAGGACGGGGACGGGGTGGCACCCGGAGATCGCTCCGGGTGCAGGAGGGGACGGGGCGGCACCCGGGGATCGCCCCGGGTGCAGGACGGGAGGTGGCACCCGGGGATCGCCCCGGGTGCAGGACAGGGTGGCGCCCGGGGATCGCCCCGGGTGCAGGACGCGGCCCCCTGAGGGGGGCCGCACGTGGGAGGGGAGGGATAAACAGAGGGGGGGTGTACTGTAATATTTTTTAAAATAAAATAAAATATTAACTTTTTTTAATTTTTTGAATTGGTGCATCCCTACATCGAAGGTTTCTGTAATTCGACGCCGGTGGGGGACGCGGGTCCCCTGTCCGCGCGCGGGACCATTTTTAGCAGGATTGAATACCCCCCAAGTGGTAAACTGCCATCTTTCAATGACCAGGAGCTATCTTCCAAGTGGTTTGAAGTGACTTCCAACAACTTGGATCGCCATTCAGAGGCTTGACTTATGCCTGCGCCAACAGAAATCACCATCAAGTTGTTTGAAGATGATCATGTCTGCGGGAGATGTGATACAAGTACCACCCTCCCGCAGACAGGATCACCCTCAAGCAACTTGAAGGTGTTCCTGTTTGCGGAGGGATAAGTCTTACCTATGAGTGGTGATCCGCGGTGTTGGGAGATACTTCTTACCCTTGGAAGATGGCTCCAGCCATTGGAAGATGACCGTCACCGTTGGGGGCTATTCGCACCCGTTAGAAATGGTCCCTCGATGTTCGCGACGATCTCCCACGATGACTGATGTCCCTGATGCGGTCCAGGAACTGCTGTTCCCTGAGTCTGTAAAAGAATTCAAAAGTTAGTAAAAGAAATAAAATATCTAAAGGACAGAAGTAAAGAAAAAGGTTTTAAAGATAAAGTAAAATAAACAAAACAAAAATAAGTGAAGCAACTAAGAAAATTAGTAGGTTCTGGAAAAATATAAAGTACTAAGAAAAAAGGTTTAAAATAAATAAAAGGTAAAGATCAGAAAATGAAAGGAAGTAATTAAGGCAAGTACAAAAAAAANGTTACAGTAAATATAAAGAAAGAAAAGTAATTAAAAAAAGCATTTAAATACCAGATAAGTAAAAATTAAAAAGGCAAAGAAAGTAAATACTTAAAAAACCAGTAATTTAAAGCTTACCTCGATTGAAACGCGTCCTGATGTCCTTGAAGTGGTCCAGGGGTTGGTGATGAACTTATAATGATGGTTGATGTTCCTCCAGAGGATGGTTCTGTAAAAGGTTCTCAAATTAGTAAAAGGAAAACAATTTACAAGGTGAAAGTATATAAAAACAAGTATTAATATACATATAAAAGAAACTAAAGCATGTAAAAGATGTTACAGTAAATATAAAGAAAGAAAAGTAATTAAAAAAAGCATTTAAATACCAGATAAGTAAAAATTAAAAAAGGCAAAGAAAATAAATACTTAAAAAAAAAGTAATTAAAAGCTTACCTCGATTGAAACGCATCCTTATGTCCTTGAAGTGGTCCAAGGGTTGGTGATGAACTTCTGATGATGGTTGATGTTCCTCCAGTGGATGATTCTGTAAAAGGTTCCCAAATTAGTAAAAGGAAAAGAATTTACAAGGTGAAAAAAGGAAAGCATTAAAACAAGTTACACTAATCATAAAGAAAGAAAAGTAATTAAAAAAAGCATTTAAATACCAGATAAGTAAAAATTAAAAAGGGCAAAGAAAATAAATACTTAAAAAAACAGTAATTTAAAGTTTACCTCGATTGAAATGCGTCCTGATGTCCTTGAAGTGGGGTCCGAGGGTTGGCGATGAACTTATGATAATGGTTGATGTTCCTCCAGAGGATGATTCTGTAAAAGGTTCTCAAATTAGTAAAAGGAAAAGAATTTACAAGGTTCAAGGGTTGGTGATGAACTTCAGTTGATGGTTGATGTTCCTGCAGAGGATTCTGTAAAAGGTTCTCAAATTAGTAAAAGGAAAAGAATTTACAAGGTGAAAGTATATAAAAACAAGTATTAATATCACTAATCATAAAGAAAGAAAAGTAATTAAAAAAAGCATTTAAATACCAGATAAGTAAAAATTAAAAAAGGCAAAGAAAATAAATACTTAAAAAAAAAGTAATTAAAAGCTTACCTCGATTGAAACGCATCCTTATGTCCTTGAAGTGGTCCAAGGGTTGGTGATGAACTTCTGATGATGGTTGATGTTCCTCCAGTGGATGATTCTGTAAAAGGTTCCCAAATTAGTAAAAGGAAAAGAATTTACAAGGTGAAAGTAAATAAAAACAAGTATTAATATACATAAAAAAGAAAGGAAAGCATGTAAAACAAGTTACACTAAAAATAAAGAAAGAAAAGTAATTAAAAAAAGCATTTAAATAGAGATCAAGTAAAAATTAAAAAAGGCAAAGAAAATAAATACTTAAAAAACAAGTAACTAAAGCATGTAAAACAAGTTACACTAAATATAAAGAACGAAAAACAATTAAAAAGACATGTAATGAAAAACTTCCTCGATTGAAGCGCGTTTTGATGTCCTTGAAGTGGTTCAAGTGTTGGTGATAAAGATAGTTCCTGGTCGTTGAAGGGTGGCAGTTTATCACTTGGAGGATGTTCAATATCTCTTACTAACTTCTGGACTTAGGGAACACCAGTCCCCCGATGTTCGTTCCCACAGCGACTAATGTCCTTAAAGTAGTCCAGGATTTGGTGTTCCCTAAGTTTGTAAGAGAGTTCAGAAGTTAGAAAAAAATTGAATATCCCCCAAATTGTAGACTGCCATCTTTCAACGACCAGGTACTATCTTCTAAGTGTCTGTACCTTCAGATTTCAAGTGCGATTTCAGAATAAGTCTGCTATTGAATTATTTATGGTTAAAACGAAGAAAACTTATTAAAAAAAAAGCGCTCGTTAAATTACTATCAGATGAAAAACCCTTCCTGACCTATAAGGCGTAATAATTATGTAAAAAAGTACGTAGAATCTAATGGTATCTTTAGATTTCAAGTGCGATTTCAAATATATCCGCTACTGAATTATTTATGGTTAAAATAGAGAAAACAACTTATTGAAAAAAAGCGCTCGTTAAATTACTATCAAATGAGAAACCCTTACTGCCCTATAGAATGTAATAATTATGTAGAAAAGTACGTAAAATATAATGGCACCTTCAGATTTGAAGTTCGATTTCAAATAAGTCTGCTACAGAATTATTTATGGTTAAAATAGAGAAAACAAGAAAACAACATATTAAAAAAAAGCACTCATTAAATTACCATTAGATGGAAATAACCTCCCGAACTATCCTGTAGTGCTGCCAGTTCTTCACTGCGTCAGTAAATTTAATTGCTATAATTCTAAAATTACATAAACATTTTGAACATAAAAAACGCGCACGTCAATTTTTAGCCCGTTGAACAATCAATCTAAAAGTTACAAACCGGGATATTTACGTATTATCAAACAATTAATCTAAAAGATACAATCCGTGAAATTTACGTTAAAATGTTTGAAGAATCTCGTAGTGTTGATAGTTTTTCAGTGCGTCTTGAAATTAAGAAAATTTAATTGCTGTACCGCGAAAATTACGTAAAAATTCTGTACATAAGAACGCGCATGCATTTCATTTTATCCAAAACAATATTTTATACTTTACAAACCTTAAAAGTAAACTGTAAAAGAATCATTTATTTATAAGTTAATTTCCAAATGAATATGTTATTTAAAAACTGAAAAAGTTTGGTAGTTAACATCCTTTTGTATTATTATTATTAAAATGAGAAGGATACGACAATTTTGAAAAGAAAACCGTTCAAATTCAAAATTATTTGATTCGTCAATTTCCGAAACTACCACCCACTTATTAGCAGTAACTGACTAACACTATCTCTCTTTGTAATCAAAGTTTGAAAACTATAATGAAATTATTTTAAAAGCAAATTTTTAATTGCTATTTATATTAAAACGAGGAAAATGCCTTATTCTCTTTGTCGACCGTTCAATTATACGACTGTTTGACGAGAGAGCAAGTATTCGGAAAATGAAAGANATGGTTGATGTTCCTCCAGAGGATGATTCTGTAAAAGGTTCTCAAATTAGTAAAAGGAAAAGAATTTACAAGGTGAAAGTAAATAAAAACAAGTATTAATATACATAAAAAAAGAAAGGGAAGCATTTAAATAGAGATCAAGTAAAAATTAAAAAAGGCAAAAAAAATAAATATTAAAAAAACAAGTAATTTAAAGCTTACCTCAATTGAAACGCATCCTGATGTCCTTGAAGTGGTCCAAGGGTTGGTTATGAACTTCTAATGATGGTTGATGTTCCTCCAGTTGATGATTCTGTAAAAGGTTCTCAAATTAGTAAAAGGAAAAGAATTTACAAGGTGAAAGTAAATAAAAACAAGTATTAATATACATAAAAAAGAAAGGAAAGCATTTAAATAGAGATCAAGTAAAAATTTAAAAAGGCAAAGAAAATCAATACTTAAAAAAACAGTAATTTAAAGCTTACCTCGATTGAAACGCGTCCTGATGTCCTTGAAGTGGTCCAGGGGTTGGTGATGAACTTATAATGATGGTTGATGTTCCTCCAGAGGATGGTTCTGTAAAAGGTTCTCAAATTAGTAAAAGGAAAACAATTTACAAGGTGAAAGTATATAAAAACAAGTATTAATATACATATAAAAGAAACTAAAGCATGTAAAAGATGTTACAGTAAATATAAAGAAAGAAAAGTAATTAAAAAAAGCATTTAAATACCAGATAAGTAAAAATTAAAAAGGCAAAGAAAGTAAATACTTAAAAAACCAGTAATTTAAAGCTTACCTCGATTGAAACGCGTCCTGATGTCCTTGAAGTGGTCCAGGGGTTGGTGATGAACTTATAATGATGGTTGATGTTCCTCCAGAGGATG